ATATAGACAATAGCCATGGGGAAGGGGATCTGGGACTCCACATCTCTTAAAGGCATAGCAGAAAAAATCTTAGTATTGGGTGGACTGAACCTTTAAGGTTTAGATTTTCCTCTAATTTCTCTTCCTAAAATCCTGAATTTCAGAGGCATTGCCGTACATTGAGGCCAGAGTTCCAGCCAAAATACATTCTCTCTTTACGGTCAGTGAGGACGGTGTTGAAGCGTTTGCACTATTGAAGCTATGCGGTGCACAGTAAGCAAGTTTTAGAGTCTTGGGATGTGTACCGTGAGTATCTGTAGGAGCCCCGGGAGGAGGAGGGTGTTATAGAAAGGGGGAAGAGTCATGCTTTATTGCACAGTTGAAGGACTGGTTGAACGTGTGTAGAGTGCCCATGTTTTAGTAGCAGCTAAAAGTCGGGATTGGTACGCCATCCAGCACAGATCATGGCGCTAATTTACACAATGGTGACTTGGTAAACTGGGCCTAGAGATAAGCCGGAGATTATGAATCAGAATAAACCCACCCTATGCTAAATAAATACACCAATAAATCTACGTATATTCCCTACAAGTGCTCCAAGAGCTGCTGTGCCTAGAGATAATGAGACAAATGTAAAGAATCAAAGTTTCTGGAGTTTTGCCTACAACTGGAGCTACCAGAAACCTACAATGGGAGATTGGTGAAGAGCTTTGCTCCTGGAGTGGTTATTCAATATTTAAGGTTGAGCTCCTGAAGGTGGAAATTTTCTTTTGCAACCCTGAGCTTCTGTAGGGGTTATTCTCTTCTTGCAGCTGAGCTCCTAGTAAGGGATATTCTCTTTTTCAAGGCTCAGCCCTTGGAGGGGGGTATTCTCTTTTTCACAGCTCAGCCCTTGAATATGGGGATTCTCCTTTTTAGGGCTCAGCTCCTAGGGGAAGGGTCTATGTTTTTTAAAGCTGAGCACCTAAAGAGTGTATTTTCTTTTTCAGAGCTGAGCTCCTATAAAGGGGGTATTGTTTTCACAGCGAGCTCCTGGAAGGGGGTATTTGCTCCTGGAGATGGGTATTCTCTTTTTCAAACACTCGGCTCCTGGAGGGGGTATTTTCTGTTTCAAGACTCGGCTGCTAGAGGGGGGGTAGTCTCTTTTTCACAGATCAGCTCTTGGAGGGTTTTTTTGCAGGACTCAGTTCCTGGAGCGGGGTTTTCTTTCAAGGCTCAACTCTTGGAGAGGATATTCTCTTTTTCAACATTTAGCTCCTGGAGAGGGTATAATTTTTTCAGGGCTGAGCTCCAGGAAGGATTGTTCTCTTTTTCAAGACTGAACTCTGACTGAGGTGGTATTCCGTTTTTCAAGGCTCACCACTTGGGAGGGTATATTCTCTTTTTAAAGGATCAACCATCGGAAGGGGGGATTCTCTTTTTCAAGGCTCAACTCTTGGAGGCAAAATTCTCTTTTTCAAGGCTCACCACTTGGAGGGGATATTCTCTTTTTCAAGGCTCACTACTTGGAGGGGATATTCTCTTTTTCAAGGCTCACCACTTGGAGAGGATATTCTCTTTTTCAAGGCTCAGCTCTTTAAGGGGGATTCTCTTTCTCAAGGCTCAAATCTTGGAGGCAGTATTCTCTTTTTCAAAGCTCACCACTTGGGGGCATATTCTCTTTTACAAAGCTCACCACTTAAAGGGGATATTCTCTTTTTCAAGGCTCAGCTCTTTAAGGGGGATTCTCTTTCTCAAGGCTCAAATCTCTGAGGCAATATTCTCTTTTTCAAGGCTCACCACTTGGATGGGATATTTTCTTTTTCAAGGCTCAACTCATGGATAAGTTATTCTCTTTTTCAAGGCTCAACTCTTGGAGGTAGTATTCTCTTTTTCAAGGCTCACCAATTGGAGGGGATATTCTGTTTTTCAAGGCTCAACTCTTGAAGGGGGATTTTCTTTTTCAAGGCTCACCACTTGGAGGGGATATTCTCTTTTTCAAGGTTCAATTCTTGGAGGCAGTATTCTCTTTTTCAAGGCTCACTACTTGGAGGGGATATTCTCTTTTTCAAGGCTCAACTCTTGAAAAGGGGATTCTCTTTTTCAAGGCTCACCACTTGGAGGGGATATTCTCTTTTTCAAGCCTCAACTCTTGAAGGGGGGATTTTATTTTTCAAGGTTCAACTCTTGAAGGGGTATTCTCTTTTTCAAGGCTTACCACTTGGAGGGGATATTTTTTTTTTCAAGGCTCAACTCATGAAGGGGGGATTCTCTTTTTTAAGGCTCAACTCTTGAAGGGGTATTCTCTTTTTCAAGGTTTAACTCTTGGAGGAGGTATTCGCTTTTTCAAGGCTCAGCTCCTGGAGGGGATTTACTTTTAAATTGCTGAGCTCCTTTTAGCCTGCCTGAGAACAATAGGCTGCATTTAGCTTCACAGCAAGTAAAGGTGGTCATAGATGGATCAAATCTCCCTTCTGAACCGGCCAAGATTTGATCCATCGATGGGCAGGGTGCTGGTACTGAAGTCACATCACACATACAGTATCTCCAAATTATAGAGTTTGGGCTGTACATTCATATCTATGAAATGGGTTTGGAGCTTATTGTATGATTAACTTGTACTTTAGAATTACTGGTTCTTTAAAAGACAGACAAGAATATGCTCATGTGTCCATGTACTGTAGTTCAGTTTAATATTTTAACCAATCAGAGTTCATCTCCTATATTGTTTAGAGTTCAGTAATTTGATACAATCTGGTTGTTCAGGTTTCTGGCAGTCTGTGCACTCACCATTTCCTGAATGCTGTGCAGTGTGTCTTTGGTTATACAGTATTCTTACACACAGGGATCTTATAAAAAAAAGGTCTGACATAACACATTATACTCAATAAATGGTTTGAAGATGGCAACTCGCTGATGACCTACTGGGAGCAGCTTGTGTCATTTTATATGTTAATATACATATAGATGTTTACTTAAAAAACTGTAGGCTTGATTAATAAAGAGTTATATAGCCATTCACACTTGGCTACTAGATAAAGCTAAGTATTGTAGGAAATTCCTATGTTAAGTAGTGCCATCTAGTGGCCAAATGCAGTATGTTCAGTTTAAAATTGATCATTTACATTCGAACAGGACAGGATATACCCTATTTACATTCATTTTCTGCCCTATTCTCAAACTTTAACTGGGTGAATGGCTATGTGAATTATTTTATAAATCAACCCACAAATCCTTATATAAAAGTAGTTTAGTAAAAGGGGGGGGGGTCATAATAAATAATAAGTCCTGTTTCAGGAATTTCATCCCACAGTACACATATAATGCACTATTTGTAAAAGAAAATGTTAACAGGGTAACTCCATTCACAAATGGTATTTCAGTATTTGGTGGATTCTGGATAGTTCCTGGGTCTGCACACTTGCTCTGCCCATTATGAAGAGTTTCCACCATCCCAATGCTGAGTTCCTGGGACATCACATCTGCCCATTATGAAGGGTTTCCACCATCGCTTCTGGAGTTTTATTCTACATAAGGAAGAAAGGGCATATTCGAATAGCAGCAAGAGAAGGGAGACTCTGGGGTGGTTAGGTACTGAGGCAGGAGCTGTGATAAGGAGACCTCCTCAGTGAAAGTTCCATGAAATATAGGAAGTCAAACAATTAGACTCCATCTTTTACTTAAATATTACAATCCTGCCATATTGCGACTGTCTATTGCTATTTTTAATTTTCCTTTGGCATCCAGTTGGTGTTTTTATTTGCCACTGGAGAGCAAAAATCTCCAGGGAAAATGTGGAGTAGAAAATCTTTAGGTGAACCTAGATGAGGCACAGTGCCTTATTGGTTCGGAGAACTCCATAATAACAAAACCTAACTGCTAAAATATAACACATATAGAGTAATGTTAACTGCCACAGAAACTATCTGTATATATCATTAAAACATATTCAGGCCGCAGTCACACCTATAGGTGATACATGATAGTGTCAATATTCATGCACCAATACACATTGGTAAACCCAATCTACTTTCATTTTTTTATTTTTGCATGTGCATCTCCATGCCCTATTGGCCTTCAACACATATCAACACAACAAAATATGTACAAGAACATGACCCTTCTATTCGACTGGAAGCACAATTCATTTATTTGTACCTGTGTTGCAATGGGAAAAATGCGTTCCTGTGTATTTTTGGATTTGTGTTGAAGGTCCACAATAAGTAGAGGAAACACATGTAGACCAATGGATGGAGATGTGGATTACATTATGCATGCCTAGGTGTGAATGATCCCTTTGTTTTTTTCTTTTGTGTACCAGATTACTGCAACTTGGAGACACTTGAAGGGCCGCAGAATATTTTCTTCTGAGCAACAAAATGAAAAAGTCTTAATGGCTTTTGAACCATAAAGGAAACCTGTGAGGACCAACATGGGAGCTGCCAGTGACTTTTTTTTGTAAGTCAGGCTCTCAGGACTCTTCTTCATCCCCAGTTTCACAACCAAGAGAGTTACTGACCAGCACCATGAATAATGGGTAGTTAGACTTTTCAATATAGGTGGATGCTTGTTTCAGATTAGTAAGGGGTAAATCGGGTTCAGGATGAAGAGGATACCCCCAGAGCCGGTACCATTAACGAGCAAGTCAGGCTTGGCAGCTCTTGTATGTTAAGTCTTCACAGGTTCTGTTGTACAACACATTTGGACCTCATTTGTTGAAACTGCCTAAGCTGTTAGAGGGCCGCAGGCAGCAAAAGTTTACAATACACATTTAAGCACCTGCTTTAGATGTTTGCTGGTTTAAGAAAATGATGGAGGAGTACACCACCTGTGGTCAACCTGCTAACCTCCAACAACTGAGGAACTACAACCCACAACATGGCTTCCAGGTGCTCTTATGCGTAAGGTAGCAGGATGGCACTAATCCCAAAATTTAGCTGCATGATATAATCAGGTCCCGGGACGGTCAGGATACAGAAGAGCTAGGACTAAGTCTCCGGAAGCTGGGCAAGCGCCGACAGGGAATACAGGATGGTGGAGTTCTAGTTTAAGAAATCGATGCTAGCTTTCACGCTTTTTGAGGTGGTGATGTCAAGGGCGGTGGCTTTGATCTCAGTGTCCCCAAACTGCATGATGGTTTGGATCTCCCTGCGTGTTGGGACTGGCGTGCTGTCCACCCCAGTCAGGTCAAGCTTCAAGGTGCCGCACTTCCGTACACCAGGGTCGGTGATGAAGTTGACGTCTTCCCGCTCAGAGCAGTAGACATTGATGATGATGAGCAGTTGGGAAGGTTTGGCCGGCGTGTAGCTGCGTTTCACCGTCTCCCCCAGAGCCACAGACTGATCAGACAGAATGAATTTATCCAGCACATCTGTGCACCACCGTGTGCCGTCTTTCAGCAGAAGCTTCTCTGCTGGGTGCTTCCCCTCCACATAGCGGTTGAGGACCCCAACTCCGTACGTCATGGGCGAGCGCCGAACTTTAATGACAGCTGGATCCAGGCCGAATAAAACAGCTCCCTTCAAGATGGTCAAACCCACGTCATGAGGGATGATGACACGGCATTGATTGCCGAATGCCTGCTGCACAGCTAACTGGAGCAAAGGAGATTCTGCAAACCCGCCAACCAGAAAGAGGAACTTGACCCCGCTTACCTCTGGCTTCTGGAACAGGTTGGCTGAAAGACAAAAAAAAAAACACCATGGCCATGTTTTTTACCCATAGAGGCAACTTTTTATTCCAAATAACATATTGATTCCTTTTTTTTTCCTATAGTTCTACTTTAACTTTTACTCCCAATATGCCACAAAAAAAAACATTATTATGGGAAATGCAAGATAAATTCAACATATATTGCTGCCTAAGGCTGGCCATACATTATACAATTTTCCTGAGATTTGTGCTTTAGATTTACCAAAAACCATATAATATGAGGTCAAATCTAAACAACACTTTCAATTGTATCTAATTAGGTAGGCCCTTGAACTACATAGGGGAAGGTAAATCTAAAGGAAATTGGGCAGAAATTGGTCAGAAAATTGTAAGAAAATTGTATAGTGTATGGTCAGCCTAACTCAGAGACATGATCCCTACCCCTACAGAGCAGTGATCCCTCCCTCTTGCTCTCTTCAAACAGCAGTACAGATTTGCAATAATTGAAGAGAAAGTCTGAAGGCAAACAGCTTCTGTTTAGGAAACCTGTAGTGCTCTATGATTATCATGTCATGTGTGCTCTCCATATTAAATGTTTATTTGTAAATCAAAGATCGTATATAAATGGTGAAAACAGTTTTAAACCATCAATTTTAAAATGTATGAACTTGGAAAAAAAATAAAAACTATTAAAGACATAGAAAAATAATTGTTGCTGAAATACTCCATCACTTAACATTGTCTCTATTTTAGCTTCCTCCCCTTAACATAGCCCCCGACTTACATAAGTGTTCAATTATGTGATCCACGGTTGGCTTGAATAGGGCATTCATTGCGTCGGGGTTCATTCTCAGCATTCCCTGCGAAGACCACTTGACAAAATCCACACTGCGCGGGAGAGAGAGGTGTCAGCAAAGAATGTTGCATTATCTGCACAAAATATTCAATATTCAAGGGCACATTTTTCACATAGTTCTGAGCTGGAGGCCCCCTTATTATACATGAGACTGTTTATATAGTTGTAAAATGTGCCAGCTGTGATAACATGCCGTGTCTGGGACCATGGAGGAGGAGGGGGCAATGCGTGGGTGGAATACCTGGTTATCATAACGGGAGTTCTGGATCATGGAAATGAAGGGTGCTCAATATGGGATATAGTGAAGCACAACAGGCCATCTTAACAGCAAATGTGTAGCACTACCCCTTTGGAGTCGCTGAGTTTTGGGTCCCCCTAAAGCTCTGCACAGCCAGGCAAGACACTCTTTGCACACTGGAGACAGTAAATAGTCCTTGAGCTTGGTTTTGTTGTTTTATTAAGGGGTTAACAATTTGGATGGGGTCTAGGGGTATATGGGATGCCCAAGAAAAATAAACTTGGGGACAACTTTGAGCAACTGTGTACAAAAATGTGAACAAGAGTAGTCTGTTGTCCTCTCAGAGCACTCAAAACTCTTTGGTGTACCTTCTCAGACCCTATATGAATCCTTCTCTTCACCCAGCTGCCTCGGGGTATTCCCTGTGCAAGGCGCCCAAGAACTGTAGCTGTACAACAGTCCCCGATGAAGACTAGTTGGATATTGCACCTGACTGCTCTCTCGCCTTATCTGGCCCAGGGGGTATAGGAGTATTCACTCTGTCTTTCCTTTTTTGTGTGGTAGGTGGTGGCTGCCTTCAGGCCTTATGCTGGGCTGGCTTCCCTGCTTCACAGGCCATCCTCTGAAGGTGAACAAAGTGCTGAATTTGTAAAGCTTGTCTGAGAGTTAAGAAAAAAGGGGGCAGAGAGCTGAAATTACACTCTGCAAAGATCAGTGAGGAGAGAGCTGATTGGAGGGAAGAGACACACCCCCTCCACACAGTTCAGAGGAACAGAGCTGAGGCTGTTAATCTGCTGGAGGTCCCTCCCGTCACCATTTTCCTCTTGGTGTCAGGAAAACTTGTCAGAAGTGAATCATGATGATAGAAGAGGAATGAAGCAGCAGACAGAAATGACAGTGCTCCTAAAGCGATTCTAAAGGTAATTTTTTTTTTTTTTTTTGGAAAATAACAAACTTGTCTATACTTAACTATTGTGTGTAATGGGTTTGCACAAAGCAGCCTGGATCCTCCTCTTCTTGGGTCCCCAGCAGGCTCTCCTGACCCCTTCCCTCCCTCCTGTAGGGTTCCCCCCACAACAAGCAGACTGCTATGGGGGCATCCGCTGCTCCATGTGTCCATTCACACACGGAGCTGTGGATTGGTCCTGCCCCCTCTCCCCTCATTGGCTGACTAGCTGTGATTGACAGCAGTGGGAACCAATGGCTCCCGCTTACTGTCTCAGCCAATGAGGATGCAGAGACCCAGGACAGCCGAGGCCGTCATTCCCATTGCCGGATCGTGATGAGGCTCAGGTAAGTATTGAGGGGGCTGGGGGATCTGCTGCACACAGAAGGTTTTTTACCTTCATACATAGAATGCATGAAGGTAAAAAACCTTCAGCCTTTACAAGCACTTTAACTGAGACAAGTAAACACTATGGAAGGAGATGCTTTGTTCATTTTTCATGTCAGAGGTTTACAACCACTTTAAAATTAAAATATATAACAATATCCTTATACCTCCCAGTAACAATTCAACATAAAGACAATATGCTGCATTATTACTGTGAGCAATATAGGATTTTTATATATTTTTAATTAATTGTGATATTAATTATAAAAGTAGATTGATTTTATTATATAGGCTGTGTTAGGTACTTTTAAAGTCTGTCTTTTCCTTTGGTGATGTGTACTATGTTCTAACTGGGATTTGGTATTATAATTAACATCTTTAAAAGGGATTTAGCCTTTGACCTCCCTCGTGACAGGTTTCCTTTAGGTTGTGAGTGGAAGGAATGGGTATAGAGAACATAATATAATTCATTTATGACACATATTTATATATAGCGCCAAACCAAAAGACCCCGGTGCTGCAAGGCAGGAGGGCTAACCACTAGGCCACTGTGCAGACCATGCATAATCCATTACAATGTGACCCAATCAAAGACGGCAGCATTGTCTCCATACTGCTGAGCTGTCATTGTGTACCTCCCTGACTGATTGCATGGAAAGGACAGATGGCTGCACTCCCTCCCCCCACTTTATTTTCTGCATTGCCGGTAAATAGCGCTGTGTTCACACCATGTGATCCAGAGTGGGCCAGATTATAAGACCTGTGCATTGCGGTAACGTGCAGTAAAGTATAATTTAGAGAGGCATAACAACGCACAACTAAAGTACCTGCAACACACCACAACGCACAACTAAAGTACCTGCAACACACAACGCACAACTAAAGTACCTTTAACACACCACAATGCACAACTAACGTACCTGCAACACACCACAATGCACAACTAACGTACCTGCAACACACACACCACAATGCACAACTAAAGTACCTTTAACACACCACAACGCACAACTAAAGTACCTGCAACACACCACAACGCACAACTAAAGTACCTTTAACACACCACAACGCACAACTAACGTACGTGCAACACACCACAATGCACAACTAACGTACCTGCAACACACCACAACACACAACTAAAGTACCTGCAACACACCACAACGCACAACTAACGTACCTGCAACACACCACAATGCACAACTAACGTACCTGCAACACACCACAATGCACAACTAACGTACCTGCAACACACCACACAACACACAACTAAAGTACCTGCAACACACCACAACGCACAACTAAAGTACCTGCAACACACCACAATGCACAACGTACCTGCAACACACCACAATGCACAACTAAAGTACCTGCAACACACCACACGCACAACTAAAGTACCTGCAACACACCACAACTAAAGTACCTGCAACACACCACAACGCACAACTAAAGTACCTGCAACACACCACAATGCACAATTAAAGTACTTGCAACACTACACAACACTACAGCCGACTATGGGTGTAGTATTTTTATTATTGTAAAAATAGCATCTACATGGAGCTTGAAACAAACGCACTTACAAAAGATGGTCGCCGAACCATCCTGAGGAGGTCCCTTTGATAATGTGTATGTGCACGAAACACGTCAGAGAGGAGCCTATGCGCTGACGTCACGCCGCCGAGTCAATACGGTGGTCCGGCGGCCATCTTTGTAAGTGTGTTTGTTTCAAGCTCCATGTGTACGCTATTTTTTACAATAATAAAAATACTACACCATAGGAATTGGCCATATTGGATCCGGGATCGAGCCATACTGTGGAGGAATCATCTGTTTCTATAGAGGGATTTCCATATAGAGTTCAGCTGTATATGTCATATATCCATTCTGGCTGTGGAAACGTTTCACCTTCTGGAGGATTTCCTATTTGAGTGCTCATTTATTCTGTACTTCTGGTGAGTGCATTAGGAGTAAGAATTGTCACGGATTCACCTACCACTTGATGTCACTCCATTATTCAACACCTTTTTGGACACTATAAATATTGTTTGTGCTTTATTGATAATTTTATACGCACTTTTATTTGGTCACGCATGTCACCTATTTTTATGCTATAATTTGTTTACGTTACTTTTGATACTCACATTAGCGCTGCACTTTCTTTCTTCTAGATATTTTTGTCTGTACTAGAGTTGCATATTCACAACCTCGGTTCACACTGATGCGACTTGTCATGTGACTTACAACACAAAGTCACATGACAAGTTAAAACGTTAATTTTAATGGGTGCCATCCTAATCAATGCGACTCAAACCACAGCGGCTTGAAAAAAAGGTCTTGGTCTACATTTTTGCATTTTTGGTACGACTTCAGTGTCATAGACTGCTATGTTAAAATCACAAAAGTCCCAAGGCTTGTCTTAATCTATGCAACTTAGATGCGACAGTACCTTACTTCAGAGGGTTTTTACCCAAAGCCAAAGTCACACTGAAGTTGCATTGAAGTCGCAATGCAAAGTCACTCCAGAAGTCGCACAACCTTCATGTCGCAGCAGTGTGAACCAAGCCGTAGTCTTCCAGTAACAGGGAATATTGCACAGGAAATGCCTCATTTCTAGAGCACAGACAGGCGGACTTACTTGCTTTTGCGCAGTGCATGCTCCACGCTGTGACCCCGGAATTTCTTGTAATAATCAATGAAGGAAAAGGGTAAGGTGATATTTAGTGGGTTGGTCCTCTCTGGTGCGGCAGCTCTTTTGCGCGACTCGAAGGCAATCATGAGATCTACCCAGGCAGCTGGGCGCTTCACCTTAAACTGATCGATGAAATCATCTCCAAAAATTTTACAGAGTAGTTTCTCAAACTCGTAGTCAACTCCTAGAGAGCCATAAGGTCCCCCTAACATAGAAAAGTTGCTGTTATTCAGTGATCTATATACAAGTTTTATTGTCACAAAATGATAATTATAGTTTAATTTTTAGAGATGAGAGCACAATGGGATGGATATCGGGGGAAAATGTTTGTCATATCTTTCCTTGGGTCGCTCCCTCAGATTCCATCTGCAACATTTTATAGCAACTAAATTAATAATCTAAACAATGTACTAATTATTATCTATATTATTTTCTTGTTATAATTACATTGCCGTTCTTTTCATTTGCAGCAGATATATAACTGCCACTGAATTTGGTCTAAATATACATTTTGTTGCCAAAGACTTAGGGGTTTATTTATAAAAGATCTGTTGTGTGAATGTCTCAACGTTTGCACAGCCATGTCTAATATGTTTCTTTCCTATGATCATCAACTCCATCTAGAGGCCATAATGCGGTATTTTCCTGATTGGGGTATTCCAGGAAAATACTGCATTATGGCCACTAGATGGAGTTGATGATTATAGGAAAGAAACATATTAGACATGGCTGTGCAAATGCTGAGTCAGTCACAAGCAGATTTTTTTATATACAGTGGGGATCGAAAGTTTGGGCACCCCAGCTAAAAATTTGTATTAATGTGCATAAAGAAGCCAAGGAAAGATGGAAAAAATCTCCAAAAGGCATCAAATTACAGATTAGACATTCTTATAATATGTCAACAAAAGTTAGATTTTATTTCCATCATTTACACTTTCAAAATAACAGAAAACAAAAAAATGGCGTCTGCAAAAGTTTGGGCACCCTGCAGAGTTAATATCTTGTACTGCCCCTTTGGCAAGTATCACAGCTTGTAAACGCTTTTTGTAGCCAGCCAAGAGTCTTTCAATTCTTGTTTGAGGTATCTTTGCCCATTCTTCCTTACAAAAGTCTTCCAGTTCTTTGAGATTTCTGGGCTGTCTGTCACGCACTGCTCTTTTAAGGTCTATCCATAGATTTTCAATTATGTTGAGGTCAGGAGATTGTGAAGGCCATGGCAAAACCTTCAGTTTACGCCTCTTGATGTAATCCCCCAGTGGATTTCGAGGTGTGTTTAGGATCATTATCCATTTGTAGAAGCCATCCTCTCTTTAACTTCAGCTTTTTCACAGATGGCATCAAGTTACCATCCAAAATTTGCTGAAATTTTATTGAATCCATTTTTCCTTCTACTCGTGAGATGTTCCCTGTGCCACTGGCTGCAACACAACCCCAAAGCATGATTGATCCAACCCCATGCTTAACAGTTGGACAGAGGTTCTTTTCATTAAATTATGTGCCCCTTCTTCTCCAAACGTACCTTTGCTCATTCCGGCCAAAAAGTTTCAATTTTAACCTCATCGGTCCACAGAACTTGTTTCCAAAATGCATCAGACTTGTCTATATGTTCATTTGCAAAGTTCAAACGATGATTTTTGTGGTGAGGACGTAGAAGAGGTTTTCTTCTGATGACTCTTCCATGAAGACCATATTTGTACAAGTATCTCTTTATAGTGGAATAGTGTACCACAACTCCAGTGTCTGCCAGATCTTTCTGGAGGGATCGTGCAGTCAAACGTGGGTTTTGAATTGTTTTTCTCACAATCCTGCGAGCTGTTCTGTCTGATATTTTTCTTGGTCTTCCAGATCTTGCTTTAACTTCCACTGTTCCTGATGACTGCCATTTCTTAATTACATTCCGAACAGAGGATATTGACATCTGAAAACGCTTTGCTATCTTCTTATAGCCTTCTCCAGCTTTGTGAGCGTCAACTATTTTCAGTTTCAGTTTTTCTAGACAACTGCTTAGAAGAACCCATGGTGCTGATTGTTGGGGCAAGGTCAGATGAGTCTGGGCATTTAAAACCTTTGAGATTGACATCACCTGGTCTTCCCAGACGATGATTGAGAACAATCCATGACACTGGCAGGTCTCAGCTTTGCAAAGGGGGCAGTGCATGCTATAAATTCTGCAGGGTGCCCAAACTTTTGCAGACGCCATTTTTTTGTTTTCTGTTATTTTGAAAGTGTAAATGATGGAAATAAAATCTAACTTTGGTGACATATTATAAGAATGTCTAATCTGTAATTTGATGCCTTTTGAAGATTTTTCCATCTTTCCTTGGCTTCTTTATGCACATTAATACAAATTTTTAGCTGGGGTGCCCAAACTTTCGATCCCCACTGTATATGTATACAGACCCCAAATATTTACAAGAAACCAAAGCGTTTTGGGGAATAAGCCCCACCTTATCATCAGGGTTGGAATAAAAAAAAACAATGTATATAGACTCTAATATTGATAAGTAATTTGGTGTTATGATGGAAGTTGAATTGGCACAGCTCAACCAGCTGCTGCTGCTGAGTGCTGTGCAAACTCAACCACTATAATAACACCCAATTACTTATTGAACTTAGAATCCACATTGTTTCTTATTACTCAAACCCTGATGAAGGGCGACACTTGGCCCCTGAAACGTGTTTCATAATTGCCTTTGGAATAAACGTCATCTTTAATATCAGGACTCACAATGTGGTACTTCAATTCTAGATTCATTCATCTTCATTACAACCCATTGTGACTTAACAAGTTCTTAGGGACGTAGAAGTCAGTCTGATATCCAGATCACCTATCCTCACCCCACCATCATACTATGGGATGATATCAACAATATAACATTTATATGTAACAAGAAGTTGCAATAATAAATTAAAATAAGATTTTGCTATTGTATTGCAATTGCTGGTTCTTTATATTACAGGTCAGGTTTTGCAGCAAGGGCACAACTACAGTCACAGCAGCTGAATGGGGTCCCAGGTTGAAGAGGGGGCCCATTTCAATTTTCAATAGACATCGAAAAATTGCCAAGTCAGTTGTTAAGAAGTGCAGACTTCTGCACATGGATCCATCTGCCTAACCTGACTTTTTAACAACTGCCCCAGGAGGAGAAGGTCTTAACCTTTGGTACGCAGCACAGGAGGAGAAGTTTTTGAGGTGCTCTGTTTTGACCAGCTGACCTACTGAGATTGCACAACTATAATCTTCACTAGTGAAAAGGGGTAAAAAAAAGCACCCAAAGAGGAGGGGTACATTATAGGTTGTCCATCTCCAAACATCTTAAGGGGTTTCCCACAGGGCTTCGTTAAGGACCCTTCTAAGACAGGAAGCCCATATCTATACTTTGCTATGGGGTTCTCTGTTAGTAATGGCTTTGTAGGACTACAGAAAACTGCCAACTAGATGTCACTGAACCTGCTGACTAATCAAATTCCCTAAAGACATATTAGGAAAGCCTCTCCCGCACACCCAAGCAAGGCACCTTGTCTCAGTGTTGAGTGAGAAGGACCTCTTCACCTTATCCAGTCTTTGAAAAAGGATTTAGGGGTTTCTAGGGGGGAAATATAGGAATCTGGAAGCCCCCTTTAGGATAAAAGGGACTCCAGATTTCCCCCCTCTCCCAGGTAATGAGTACAGGGGGTACATTAGTTCCCAAATAGAACTCCATGCACACTCGGTGTTTAACCGCGGGTAAGGGCACAGTTGGGCCATTCAGCCCCACTATCAGAAGCTGTTAACACTCTATGAGAGTCTAACAACTGCTGTGGCTGGACAGTGCTGGGCAGTACACTACGTTTAGGGTAGTATGCACCCAGGAACAAACACCGGTAACACAAGAAATCTACGTGCTGCATATTCATCCCTGGGAGCATAGGGCCCTAAATGTATAGAATGCAGAGAGCTCAGCCCAGTCTCAGTGGCTTTCAGAATCTCATACAGCCAGGCCAGCGAGGATGGACAGCACACCCACCAGTGGCTATATGCCACAGCTCCATACACGGAGGCCAAAAGCCCTTGTAAATAGTGTACCCCATCATCAATCACGTCATCCAGCGATCTAAATCCTTGTCAGTCATAACGAAGATGTTTCCATACCACCAGCCGATGATGTTTTTCTGCGACATTACAACCACAAAACAGATCCCCAGTGCTGTGGGAAGGTAAAAAAGGGATCGTAGGTGACATCATTGACCAAATATGGTTATGGATAAATTTGGTTAAAGATGTTTTACCTGGGATCCCTGGTTCTTTGTTTACATTCTAGCAGTCAAAGATTCGGGATGGTGATCTGGCCAGTTAGCAGCAATTTGTTTGGGGATCCGTGAATAGGCTTGGTTCAGTTCAAAACCCAATCTCCTCCCTAATGGTCAGGTGTGCACCATAAAGTGTTGGTCAAGACAATGACATTTCGACAGTGACCCTTCCATAAATGTTCCTCTATAACTCCCTACCTCATATACTTCTCCCACAAAGATCTGTTCATGCTCTGTACCTGAAGCTTTGTAGAGCTCCTTCAGATGACCTTCCGGTAGGCGGATCTGATGCACTGTAAGGTCTACAGTTCCTCCGCCGCAGTCTACCACCACATACTTGTCACCTGGAAGAGGCAAGTCACAAAGATGTCTGATCCACAATACCGACACACATCAAAAATTTCAGACAGCTTCCTATATATGCCACACCAATTGGACACAGCTACCTGCGCATATATATATATATATATATATATATATATATATATATACATATACACACACACACAAACATACACATATACACATATATATATATATATATACACACACACACACACACATTCTCTGGCCACTTTATTAGGCACGCCTGTTCAATTGCTTGGTAACACAAATTGCTAATCAGCCAATCTCATGGTAGCAAATCAATGCATTTAGGCATCTAGAAGTGATGAAGGCAACTTGCTGAATTTCAAACAGACCTTCAGAATGGGGAAGAAAGGGGATTTCATTGACTTTGAATGTGGCATGGTTGTTGGTGCCAGAGGGGGCTGGTCTACGTATTAAAAAAAACTGCTGTTCTACTGAGATTTTCACGCACAACCATCTATAAGGTTTACAAAGAAAGGTCCAAAAAAAAGAAAAAATATCCATTGAGCAGCAGTTGTGTGGAGGAAAATGCTGTGTTGATGTCAGAGGAGAATGGGCAGACTGGTTTAATGTTAAATGTATTATGCAAAAGACTAAATATCCCAGCAATACACAATACTGCAATGCAGAATACCATCAGCTATAGAGAACTACAAATCCCAGCAATACATAATGCAGCAGTGCAGAATACCACCAGCTATAGAGGACTACAAATCCAGAGCCCCATCAGAGTCCCCCTTTACATCAGGTGCCCCATCAGAGTCCCCCTTTACATCAGGTGTCCTATCAGAGTCCCCCTTTATATCAGGTGTCCCCTGGGAAACACTCGCCCCCCACATTATTTCCACTAGCCAAATGCAAGCAGGCGAGTGGACATTTTGAGCCCTGATCTACAGTATGTGCCATCATTGCCTGGATATATGGACAGGCTGTGGCTGAACTATACATACTTTCTCTTTACATGATTACATTTCCAAAGTGTTACTTCTGCTCAAGTATCCCATTATAATTTATAACTATTAGATTGTAAGCTCTTATGAGCAGGGCATTCTTAAGCCTCTTGTTTTTTTTTTTATTGTATTGTAACTGTACTGCCTCCCTTTATATTGTAAAGTGCTGTGCAAACTGTTGGCGCCATATAAAAATCCTGTATAATAATAATTATAAAACCAGGCATGGCGGGAAGGTATCAGAGGTATCTAGGCGCAGGGTTCAGGTCAGTGCACACACCATACAGCCTTGTAAATGATGAGGAGGTGCACACCTGGTGCCTGCACTGTAGCTCACACATACATTTCAGGCAGGAAATCTGAACTTGATGAAAATGTTGGAGAGTTGGCTCCCACCTTCAGAACCCGGTGTGGGTTTGTTTGGTGAATGGTGGCATCATTATACCCAATCTTATGAATACTGAAGATACTGCCATTGTCAGGAAAGGTGAACAATGATTTTACCTTCCTCCAGCTCTGACCATAACTCTCCAATCACGTTCTCCACCATAAAAATTCGGCTCTGCCGGTTCCTCCGCGTGTGGTCCTTAGCTGAGCACACAGAAGAGAAGAGACACCATCAGCACCCCCAATGTACACTTCCAGTGAAGGCAATATGAATACAGAATGCTGTTCCCTAACTGACTGCTTCATTTTTTCCCTTTATCTCCCTGTGAGGAAATATTATACTGTCTGAGGACTCTCCCTCAGTACTGCAGCAGCAGACATCGTGACCTGTGCAAAGCAGTGGCAAGGAACATAATTGTGATGCTGAGCCTACATGATTGAAAGAACTGAAAACCAATGAATGAAAGGGGTGGGCCAGAGACAGTCAGGCTTGGGAGGAAGAGCTAGATGATGCTGGATGTCCTCCAGCCCAGGAAATGAGGCAGGCTCTATCTGACTTGCTGCAGCTTCCAATGCTCACAGTGTACAGTGAAATCAGAGTAATTTCATTCCAGGAGAGGAGCAGGTACTGTGCAAGGCTTTAGGTCAGATTTAGCCTTCACTTAAAGCAGGGGCCTCCAAACTTTATAATCAAAGTGCCAGTTTACTGTCCTTCATTCTTTAGCGTAGCCATCGGGAGTAGAAAATGTCCTGGCATCAGTGGGAGTAAACAATACCCCATCTTTGGTGTCAGTGAGAGGAATTTTGCCCCATTGATGGTGTCATTGGAAGAAATTGGGCTCCATTGTTGGTATCAGTGGGCTTCATAGTTGGTATCATTGGGAGGAACTGTGCCCCATCATTGGTATCATTGTTAGGCATTGTATCCCTTTTGTTGGTGTTATAAGATGAAATAGTGCCCCAGGGGCTGGATAAAAGCAAGCAAAGGGCCACATCCGGCCCAGGGGCCACAGTTTGGAGATCACTGACTTAAAGCATGCACACCTGATAACACTCATGATTAGAATCAGCACATTTATAACATACATCTTAAGAACTCTTATAATAAAATCTAAAGGTTTCAAGGTCTGCACAGCCACCATGGTCATTACAAGGAGCTCCCACTATCCCTGCTGGATTATCATTTTTATCCATGAAGAATGCGGCAAGAAGTATCTCTCCTTGGTGCAGCAGAAGGGATGAGACTCCAAGATGACAGCTGGGAATCATTGTTTAGATCTGACATCTGATACTTTATCCAAAACAACTTCAGGATTCTTGTGTTTGCTGAGAGTAGAGATGGATGGATGGTGTTGCGTTACTGTACTGACAATTGCGTGGTCATGTAACGCTGGACCCAAATTAAATTTACGTCCTTTTTTCCTACAAATGGAGCTTTCTTTTGGTGGTATTTGATAGCCTTTGTGTTTTTTATTTTTTGCGCTATAAACAAAAAAAGACCAGCAATTTTGAAAAAAAAAAATTATATTTTTTCCTTTTTGCTGTAAAACATGTCCAGTAAAAAAAAGTAAAAAAAAAATGTTGTCATAAATTTAGCCCAAAATGTATTCTGCTACATCTGCTACAAAAAATCCTAATATGTGATGTGTAAATTAATTGGTTTAAGTGAAAGTTATAGTGTTTACAAATGGCATTTTTTTTTAATATATATATATATATATATATATATATATATATATATATATATATATATATATTGGAATTTTTTTGGCGGTGATCAGCAACTTATAGCAGGACTGCGGCGGGCATTCTGACACTAAGGGGGGGGGAACTGACTTGGCGTCAATGACATCTCCAGTGACACCAATACAGTGATTGGTGCTAATAGAAAGCACTGACACTGTACTAATGGCACTGGGCAGCAAGGGGTTAACATGTGGGGTGATCAAAGGGTTAACTGTATGCTATTTTACTGTGTGCTGTGTGTGCTTTACATTGTAAGCACACTACTTTGTGTGGCTCACATTGGAGGTATTTCCTCTCACTTCCTGTTCGACTATGGGACCGGACATGAAAAGAAATCTCCCCAATAGAACACAGATGGCAAAAAAAACTGACAAGGTTTATAACCCTCCCTCACTCTATCCAAAATGAAAAGATGTTTTTTCCTTTAGTTTTGCTTTAAAGATTTACAACAATGTAGAAATAGTGCATCAGAGAGGTTTTAGAGAACTCATACAGACTGGACTGCGATTGTATTTGGAAAATGTAAAAGAGAAATGTAGGGAAATGGGTTTAAAATGGAAATTTCCTTTAATGTAGTAACAAAATAACAGCTGAGCCATTATCATGAACAGATTGCTGGTACAGACAATTAATAGATATCACTTAGTGAAGCTGTACTGTCTCATTGATACCAATGTAACCACATCCTAGAGATTTACTATTCAGGCAGCAGGTGGCGCTCTCCACATACTAATGAGACACACAGAGCTGTGACTCATCCTCAATGATGGAAGGCAGCAAGTTATTATAATAATTACATAGACTTTATATAGCATCAACAATATGCACAGCGCTTTACAAAATATATTGGGCTGGCTGGGTTCATTCACATCTATGTGTTTCAGGAACGCACACATAATAGCGTGCTTAAAGTCTTACTAAACCCAGGACCCCGCATTCACTATATCTGGTCTCCCGGACCCTGCATTCACTATATCTGGTCTCCCCGGACCCTGCATTCACTATATCTGGTCTCCCCGGACCCCGCATTCACTATATCTGGTCTGCCAGGACCCTGCATTCACTATATCTGGTCTCCCCGGACCCTGCATTCACTGTATCTGGTCTCCCCAGACCCTGCATTCACTATATCTGGTCTGCCAGGACCCTGCATTCACTATATCTGGTCTGCCAGGACCCTGCATTCACTATATCTGGTCTCCCCGGACCCTGCATTCACTATATCTGCTCTCCCTGGACCCTGCATTCACTATATCTGCTCTCCCTGGACCCTGCATTCACTATATCTGATCTCCCACACTACACACAACATGGAAATACAATTATTTTAGTAAATATAAACTGCTAAATACCTTTTCTCATCAGCAGTTAGAGCAGTCTTGTGACTATCAGTGTCCAGCAGAGGACTGGTAAAAACTTGGAGGAGTTTTCATTCTCCCGATTGTCCTATGAGGCTGCCTGACCCCCGACCCTCTGTCTAGACAGCTCTGATTGGCCCTGTGATGATCATATGCACCCCCCTCCCAAAGAAAAAAAAAACTTTCTAGCAATATACACCAAAGTGAGAATGCGCAGCTTGCCCCAAAGCAAAGCTCTTTTTTCTATCAGGAGATGGATTGGGGACAATAGAAGGGGAGAATCAGAGAAGACAGGATCACACAATCTTTTTACACAATGCAGATGATTAACCCATTTGGTTCCACACTGAGTAAAAAAAGCATGCTTTACTGCATATACAGACTGATTTTACTGTTGTGGGTTTAGTAACACTTTAACTGACAGGTATATAAACACATTGCACTTTAGCAGACGCGCATTGGTGCCCTTAATTGTTCATTAATGGCACCATGTGGTCTGATGTGGAGCATTTTTGGAAAAGAGTCAGGGACTTCTTTTATGCATTCCTCATTTATTTGGTAGCCCATTGTTCTCACTTGTAGGATAGCCCATTGTTCTCACTTGTAGGGTAGCCCATTGTTCTCACTTGCAGGGTAGCCCATTGTTCTCACTTGTAGGGTAGCCCATTGTTCTCACTTGTAGGGTAGCCCATTGTTCTCACTTGTAGGGTAGCCCATTGTTCTCACTTGCAGGGTAGCCCATTGGTCTCACTTGCAAGGTAGCCCATTATTCTCACTTGCAGGGTAGCCCATTGTTCTCACTTGTAGGGTAGCCCATTGTTCTCACTTGTAGGGTAGCCCATTGTTTTCACTTGTAGGGTAGCCCATTGTTCTCACTTGTAGGGTAGCAGATTGTTCTCACTTGTAGGGTAGCAGATTGTTCTCACTTGTAGGGTAGCCCATTGTTTTCACTTGTAGGGTTGCCCATTGTTCTCAGGGACCACAGCGGCATTGGCTGCTGAAATCTGTAATCACCTTAAAGTGGCACATTGCAGAGAAAGTGCTCCATATATACTGAACCAATTACTACAAATTCCTTTAGGTTGGGCACCTAGGGGGCGTTTTGGTGTGCATGCAGAATAGTAAACACCACCTTGACCTGCCTTTATATGGAGTCGCTTTATCTGAAAACATGGCGTTAGAATTGAGGAACAAAGAAACCCTAACAAAGCCAGGTGATCACCCGCACTGTAGTGGTCATATGGCTTTGTTGATCAACGAATGGTACTGGTTAGTGTTGGGTTGACATTAGGTTTGGCTCTTCATCAACAAAGGCATTGATCACCATATCAGCACTGTTATGGCATTATCATGTCAGCGGGGTGGAGAGCTGTGCTGGATCTGAAGTGACCCCACTTACAGGTATAGTACCTGGTAGAGAGACAGTCTTGTGACATAATGGTGGCCATACATGTAATGATCTGATTCTGCTATAGATATTGATGGTGTACACCAACCACCACTAAAAAAAACTGTGGGGTTCCCCTTAAAAATACATGCCAGGCTTTTAACCTTGATCAGTGTCTAGTATGGATGTCAAGGGGTCCCCCCAAATTCTATACCAGACCCTTCAACTCTGATATGAATTTTAATGTTGTACTCCAAAAAAAAATGTTGATGGGGACAAGGGCCTCTTCCCCACAATCCTGGCCAGGAGGTTTTGAGAGTCTGTGGGATTATATTTAATTCAGCACAGTAGCATTAGAAGCCCTGAAGCAGAGGAGTTTTATGTAAACCCCAAAATTAGTAAAAAAAAAAAAAAAAAAAAAAAGGCAGAATGGAAAGTGATCCTGAGTTGCTCAAGAGGGGTGAAGGTGGCAATTAGTGGTGTCCTGGGGGTACAATGAAGGTGGAGTGGAGGGTGATTATGGTGATGTAAAAGGAATATAACAGCTCACTACAGAACATTGAGAAGAAGGTGGCAGATATTTCTATACCTAAAAAAGTTACTGTGTAAGTGATATTGTGGTGCTGTACAGACCTGGATCAGTGGGGCTGAACCCGTTAATAGCAGCCTTATTGCTGAGGTCGATCATCTGATGAAGGCGCAATTTTCGGCAGTAGATGGAAGCCCCTTCGGGTTCCAGTGCAATGATGAGCTGCTCCGGGTTATCAGGATACGCCAGTCCAGCCTGCCAATACAGAAGGACAGTAATTACAGCAGAACATTATGTCATCACATAGGATTGGCCAGTCTGTACTGTAGGCTTCTCTCTGTAATGTTGGTGATAACCAAATCTGTATAAGGAGGGATACGGGAGCTGCTACAACTAATGCAGGCCATAGACGGTTCTTTTATGGAATGATTTTTCGTCCGACAGAAGAATAATCGGCCAATTTGCGCACCGTTCGTGGGACAATGTCATCAGCAGATTTTCATGGTTCCTCCTCATTTCTTTTATCGGTCATGCTGGAAAATTTGCGAAAAACAGCCGCTTTTCGCCATTATTGGTGGCAACAAAACGACCGATGTTTCGTTTTTCGGCCGATAAAACGAACTGTCTATGGCCTGCATTACCTCCTCCTGAAACACTAATTGGAAGTATCTGGCTCCAACACCTAGGGTGCACGCAGCAAGTGAACTCTCAGTGTCAGAGTGATCAACATGCTTGTTGTGGGCCAGTGACTCAGAAATTGTTGAGCCATTGAATCAGCAATGACAGCCAGAAAGGATAGCATTTCCAGGATCAGCAATGGCCTACGTGTTCCTCTCAGTACATATAGATGACATCATTGCTGAAAAACCTCTGAAAGCAAATCAATAGGCAGCACAGAGACAGTGAATATCTGAGCAGACTGGTAGACATTGGAGGCCACTGTGCAGGACTACTAAGGAGAGAGCTGCTCCATAAATATATATCACACTATGTTCAGAAATCAGGTTTACACGCTATGAGACATGCTGATATAATTATCAAGCTGATCACAATTTTTATGAAGGGAAAGGGATAGAGCCTGCCTTCCTTCCTGCCTCCTTTAAAGCAACAGTTTTCTCAGAAATCCACTAACCATAAACCTAACTAAGGATGGACCTTTCCATGCGTGTTTTCATGTGTTTTACATGTTTCATGAAGAAGTTCACTTACTACACTCCATGAGGTATGGAAAACTCTGCTCTATAAGTTCTCTAGACACTCAACTCCATGCAGTATGGAATCTTCCACACTGGATACTACACACCAATAGGCATAGTATCCTCTGCTCCAAAAGATCCAGATACTCTGCTCCACGAGGTCCAGATACTCTGCTCCACGAGGTCCAGATACTCTGCTCCATGAGGTCCACATACTCTGCTCCACGAGGTCCAGATACATACTCTGCTCCACGAGGTCAAGATACTCTGCTCCACAAGATACTCTGCTCCACGAGGTCCACATACTCTGCTCCACGAGGTCCACATACTCTGCTCCACGAGGTCCACATACTCTGCTCCACGAGGTCCAGATACTCTGCTCCACGAGGTCCACATACTCTGCTCCACGAGGTCCACATACTCTGCTCCACGTCCAGATACTCTGGTCCACATACTCTGCTCCACGAGGTCCAGATACTCTGCTCCACGAGGTCCAGCAATATACTCTGCTCCACGAGGTCCAGATACTCTGCTCCACGAGGTCCAGATACTCTGCTCCACGAGGTCCAGATACTCTGCTCCACGAGGTCCAGATACTCTGCTCCACGAGGTCCAGATACTCTGCTCCACGAGGTCCAGATATACTCTGCTCCACGAGGTCCATTCTGGGGATACTCTACTCCATGAGGTCCAGATACTCTACTCCATGAGGTCCAGATACTCTGCTCCATGAGGTATAGAATTCTCTACTGCAATACGTCAGGAAACTCCAATATTTTTGGAGTAAAATCCTCCCTTCATAAGGTCCAGTTATTCCACTTCACTATATATGGAACCCTCACTCCATGAGGTATGGACACTCCAATCCATTAGATTTGGGATCCACTGCTCCATAAAAGTCTGGGTACTCTACTCCATTAGGAAAACATCCCCCATCATAAGTCTAGCATTAGGTTATGCACCTGCCACTCCATGAGGTCTGAATACTCTACTCCATTAGGTTATGCATCCTCTGCTCATATAGTAATTCATTCCCATATGAGGTCCAGATACTCAACTCAATTCAGTATGTAGTAATCCTCCATCCCATGAAGTTTGGAAATTCCAGTCTTTTAAGCTTGTAAAATTGTCCAATCATCAGGTCTGGATACTCCAGTACATTAGGTATAGAACCTTCTGCATTAGTCCCCCAAATCCAGACACTTGTTATTAAATCCTTCCTGCCATTAGGTTCAGACACGCCACACAATTGGATATGGAATCCTACACTCTATGAGGTCTTGATACTTCAGTCCATTAGGTATAAAATTTTCCACTCATTAGTTCTAGATAGTCCACTCAATTATGTATGGAACCCTCACTTCACAAGTTCCAGATTCTCCATTCCATTCTATTAGATATGGAATTCTCTGTTCCACGAGGACCATATATTCTACTCCATTAGGTGTGGAATCCTCTACTCCAGGGGTTTCCAAACTGTGGCCTGTGGGCAGGATGTGGCCCTTTGCTTGCTGTTATCTGGCCCTTGTGGCACTTTTCCTTCCACTGATACGAAGCATTATTCCTTCCATCAACACCAACGATGGGGCACTATTCTTCCCACTGACACCAAATGGGACACTATTCCTCCCACTGACACCAATGATGGGGACACTATTCCTCCCACTGACACCAACGATGGGGCGCTATTCCTCCCACTGACACCAATGATGGGGCACTGTTCCTCCCACTGACACCAATGATAGGGCACTGTTCCTCCCACTGATCCCAATGACGGGGCACTGTTCCTCCTACTGACACTAGCAACAGGGCACTGTTCTTCCCACTGATACAAGAAATAGGGAACTACAAAGCCTAGGGTATTGTTTACTCCTACTGATGCCAGGGAATTTTTTACTCCCACTGGTCACAATCCGCCCTCCCCCTAAAGTTTGAAGGGAAGTAAACTTTGTTTCAAAAGTTTGGAGACTCCTGCTCTACTCCATAAAGTCCAGATACTCTACTTCACTAGGGATGGATCATCACTAAATGAGGCCCAGATACTCCACTCCATAAGGTATAAGATCAGGTTATGCATCTGCCACTCCATTAGGATGTGCATCCTATGCTCATGTCCAGACACTCATTCCACTAAGGAATGCTCCATGAGGTCTGGATTCTCCCCTCCATTAGGTATAGAATCCTCCACTCCATGAGGCCCATATACTTCACGCCATTCAATATGGAATGCCCTACTCCATGATGTCAGGATACTCCACTCGATTAGAAATTAAATCTTCTGCTCATGATTAGGTTTGAAGCCATGAGGTTCTCATACTCTACTCCATTAGATATAGAATCCTCTGCTCCATGAGATCCTTATACTCCACTGCGTTAGATATGGAATCCTCTGTTCCACAGTCTGTATACTCCACTCCAATAGGTATGCAATCATCACTCCATGAAGTCCAGAAAGTCCACTCCATAAGGTATAGAATCCTCCATTCCGTGAGACCCGGCCAGTCCACACCATCAGTTTATGTACCCTCCCCTCCTGACAGTTCCCCAGACTGCACTCACAGCAGCCAGGAAATGAGCACTTTGAAAAGAGGGCTGCATGTGAATGTCATAGTTCTTATTATTGCCACAACATTTGTTAGTTTTGGATACAGTAGTAAAAAGGTTTTCTTAGTGCATCTCCTTGGAAAGGTGCCCTGCACTTTATGTCCCAGAGACACAACAAGAAGTGGGAGGAAATCTCTACAAAGTGAAGGGGAGGTGACTGTACATGCACATTTTCAATGGCCCAGAGCAGGGGCGGACTGACCATTTGGAAACTCGGGCACTGCCCGAGGGCCCGGGGTCAGTAGGGGGCCCCATGAGATGCCCCTGGTACCTTTTTCATAGGCTTTTTGAGTTTGGGCAAGGACACAGGGGCCCCATGATCCCCTATTGCCCGGGGGCCCCATGAGTTGTCAGTCCGCCCCTGGCCCAGAGTGGCTGCTAGGGGGCACATTATTGTAATGTTCAGTCTGTCCTGCAAACGGCAAGAAAGAGGGGGTGAAGGGTCTGCATTTTTTGTGCGCTTCAAAATTTGCACCATTTACAAACAGGAGGAGCACCGGTATGTACTAATCAGAGGATATAAAATTGCATAAAGGGATTTTTGGAAAATTTTCCTGAAGGTGAACTTACACTTTATGTGAGTTGTGATGGCCTATATCAGTAACTACAAAGCAGAAGCAAGTAACAATCTGTACAAACAAAAGTCCTTAAGGGCTCATCCACACCAGCCCAAAAGCTAAAATGATCCATTTTAGTGTGCGATCTTTCATTCGTTTATACCGATGGTGGTTGGTGGTGGATTTTTGCATTTATACAACGCAAGAGTTGGTTCTGGCCAGCTCAGTGGACTGCTTTAAAAAAGTCCTGGATTCTTTCCTAGATACACAGAATATAACTGGATACTAACATAAAGTTGATCCAGGGAATATCTGATTGCCTCTCGGGGGATCAGGAAGGAATTTTTTCCCCTGCAGGAGCAACTTGGATCATGCTTTGCTGGGTTTTTTTTGCCTTCCTCTGGATCAACTGGACCAACTGGGTGTAGGATTCTAACTTTTTTTTTTTATGGTTGAACTGGATGGACTTTTGTCTTTTTTCCACCAGACTATGTAAAATCACTGTCAGGGGCGGACTGACAACTCATGGGGCCCCCGGGCAATAGGGGATCATGGGGCCCCTGTGTCCTTGCCCAAACTCAAAAAAGCCTATGAAAAAGGTACCAGGGGCATCTCATGGGGCCCCCTACTGACCCCGGGCCCTCGGGTAGTGCCCGAGTTTCCAAATGGTCAGTCCGCCCCTGGTCACTGTTAACCTTTTTTTCTATTTTCTTTTACTTTATCAAAATGACACAAAGCAGCGTAACAAGTGAACTCCAATGCGGTGCAGGAAAACACAAACTTGCTGAATTTTCTACACCTGTCCACTCCATTGCAGTGTGAATGGGGCACGGATAGAACAGTTGCTCTCAATGTGCCCTTGCAGAGACCTGCATTGGTGTAAAAAAATGCCGGTCACCACACATGCGCTCATGCACAAATATTCTCAGAAATGCTGCTTTTACAGGCGTTTGAGCTTTTAATCCCTCCATGTTAACCTGTGTGGCCATGTACACTATAGGTGTTTAGAGGCAGGAACAAACTCAGCAAAGTTGAGTTCAGGAGAGCATTTTGAGCATAAAAAAGCAACTGCGTTTTAATACATTCTAATAGCCAGAATAAATTAACATTGCGGCCAGAGAATGCATTAACAGCAGAAGCAAGAACAAATGTTAACACATGAACGCGCACGCCAAAAAAATGTGGATTTTTAACGCATTTGTCTGCTGCCAAACGCCTGTAGGAGAAAAGGCGTCATAGAGAATCCAGTGTCTCAGTATGAATGAGTAGACGGGGATCATTCGCAGTATACTATGGATAGTGTGATCACTCCCTGAGCTGTAGACCCCACGGTCAGTGAACGCCACGTCTGGCTCGGAGGACGCCCATTGTCCAGCTCTTCACACTCTTCTCCATATTATTATTGATATCTTTTAGCAGTTAAGCAATTTAGCTCTTCACTCTTCTTTCTACAATTTTCAGGAGAAAAAAAAAACAACAACGTGGTAATCTTGAGCCTGTAATGGGCGTCTGGCGTAAGAGGTTTTCGAGGGTCATTGTCAGACGGTGGAAACGGCGCGGTCTTGTTTACATCTGGGGAATTAAGTGTCACATTGTGTTCATGACACGCTCGGAACGCATTACGTCCGGGGAAGCTTCCAGCGCAGAGAGTGCGCTCATTGTCTGCGACGCTCTCACAAGCCATTAGTCCCCGTTTGGCTCCTGTCTGGAGGGGTCTCTCAATGTGAGGCTTGTTTGATGCGTATGCGGCTTTGAAAGAGAGACGCAGCATAAATCCGGATAATAAAAGCCTCTTCCAGCGCCTAATAAGAAGGGCACGCGGGGGCCACTCGGGGGATGCTTGGAGGACTCCATTAAGCTCTTCACCGGAGGAGGAAAATAAAAAAAAAAAAAAAGGAAAAATCAATTCTGATCATTGTGATGACTTGTTAAAAAGGAAAGACTTGCTCTATGTAACATTATCTCTGGAGAGATTATTCCGTCTGCTGGTGATGCTGGCGGTACAGGGGGAGGCTTGGGTCACACAGTCTTGCTTTTATCCAGCCCCTAGGGCACTTTTTCCTTCCACTGATAAGAAGCATTATTCCTCCCACTGACACCAATGAGGGCACTATTCCTCTCACTGACACCAACATTGGGACACTTTTCCTCCCACTGACACCATTATCTATTTATTTCAGGTACTTATATAGTGCCGTCAATTTATGCAGCGCTTTACATATATATATTGTACATTCACATCAGTCCCTAACCCTCAAGGGGAGTACAATCTAAGGTCCCTAACTCACATTCATACATACACATACTAGGGACAATTTAGACAGGATCCAATTAATCTACGAGCATGTCTTTGGAGTGTGGGAGGAAACCAAAGTACCCCGAGGAAACCCACGCAGGCAGAACATGCAAACTCCAGGCAGGTGGTGTCATGGTTGGGATTCGAACCAACAACTCTAGTACTGCCAGGTGGAAGTGCTAACCACTTGGCCACTGTGCTAACCATAGCATTAAGGGAATTATTCCTCTCACTTACACCAACAATGGGACGGTATTCTGCCCACTGACACCAACGATGGGGCACTATTTCTCCCACTGGCACGAACGATTGGGCGCTATTCTTCCCACTGACACCAATGATGAGGCACTGTTCCTCCCACTGACACCAATGATGAGGCACTGTCCCTCCCACTGACACCAGCGATGGGGTAGTGTTTTCTCCCACTGACACCAGCGATAGGGCACTGTTTCTCCCACTGACACCAGCGATAGGGCACTGTTTCTCCCACTGACACCAGCGATAGGGCACTGTTCATCCCAATGACACCAGCAACGGGGCACTGTTCTTCCCACTGATACCACAAATGGGGATCTAATTATCCCACTGACACCAACGATGGGGCACTGTTCCTCCCACTGACCGCCAAGCCTAGAGAATTGCTTACTCCCACTGATGCCAGGGCATTTTCCACTCCCACTGGTCATAATCCGGCCCCCCTAAAGTCTGAAGGGCAGTAAATTGGTACTTTGTTTTAACGGTTTGGAGACCCCTGGTCTAGGGGATTGAAGAGCTGAGATATACTCACCTAATCCACTGATCCCCCCCCCCGCACAAGACCAGTCCCTGCAGCTCCTGCCCCCCCTCCCAGGCTAGTGGTCCTGTGAGGTGGACTGTTCCTGGAGTCATCACATAGACTGGCTCTGGAGGTGAGGACATCAGGAACAGTCCACTGCTGGTTGTGGGGGAGTGTTGTTTTTCGGAGGATCGAAGGATCGGGTAAGTATGAGCTCTGTGTTCACCCCTAGATAAAACAAGCAGTTAACCCATGCAGTGCGGCCCACTGCATGCTGAAAAAAAATTGCCCAGAGTTCTGCTTTAACTCCCAAAAGGGGGATGCTGTGATCCCAGGACACAGCATTATTGGGACTAATTTGGGGAAATGTCCCAAGAAAACCAGGACAGTTGGCATGTATGTAGTACGAAACTGACAGCATTTTATATGCCTGTCCCTCCTGTGATATACATTGTATCAGTGTACACCACTCTCCATCTTATCCCTCCTTGAACTTCCTCTGAAGCTGTGTGATGGTCGAAGGGGCCCCCAGGGGCCACACTCTATCTGCCAGTTTTTCCGGTAAACATGGCCTGTTAATGGGGGACGTTGTAATCTCCACATCAGATTATAGACGAGTCTCTTGCAGACTCTGCGCCCAGCGGGTGATAAATCTCTGCTAATCAATTTCTATCACCCACCTGAGACCGGGGTTAATGTATCGGATGGTCGCTGAGCGACTCGAAGAGATTTCCTGGCAAAGGGGGGAGCTGCATAATAATGACGGGACGCAGCCCCACCAACAACCAATCAAATTGGAGAATTCTATCACAACACTGGGATCAGCTTATGTCAGGTCACTTGGGTGGTCAGATAGGTGAGTTGGATGGAGGAGATGAGAGAAGTTGTTGGCCGATGCTGTGTGACCGCAAAATCGCTGCGATAGTGGGGAGCAGACTAAGCACAGACATAATGATCCACCTCATCCCCTGCCAACTGACATTCATATTCAAGGTTTATCTTTCTGTCAGACGCTCTGCTGGAGAGATCTCTGTGCCGAGTTCCCAGGTCTGCACACTTGCTGTCCCCATTATGAGGGGTTCCCACCATCCCTGTGCTGAGTTCCCAGGTCTGTATACCTGCTGTGCCCATTATGAGGGGTTCCCACCATCCTTGAGCTGAGTTCCTGGGTCTGTACACCTGCTGTGACCCCGGGCCCTCGGGCAGTGCCCAAGTTTCCAAATGGTCAGTCCGCCCCTGGGTGTCAGCACATTGCACCTTTCCTGGTGGTGGTGGCAGCATGGACAGGAGAGGCTCCTGACACCCCACTACAAACAATCTTCGATCTCCTCCAGCTGGCGTCGGCTGGGACTTACCTTGTATGCCGCCTGTCTCATGAACTGTTTGGCCGGCTGTTTCCAGATGGCGGGGACGGTCACGACCCATCGGACTTCGCTGTTCTCCATCTCACACCCGGCCTGGTCACTCAGCTCCTGCAGGAAGAGAGAGAGAGAGAGTGAGGACAGAAGCCTGAAATAATGTTTTCAGGAAGCTTTGTACAGCACCCTGCCAACCCCTCTCATTAGCCATGATCTGTCTGCATTGCACAGAGAAGCACAGAGACCCAGTGGTGACATAACGTGATCTTACAGGAAAACAAACAAAAAACAAACATGTCTATACTTACCTGCTCTGTGCAATAGAATTGTACAGAACATACCTGATTCTCTTCTTCTCAGGTCCCCCCGCCAGAGCTCCTGGCTCCTTCCCTCTTGCTGGTGCCCCCAATAGGAAGCCAAGTCCCATGGGGGCACTCAAGCGGGCTCACTCCCTCCCAAGTCCGCTGCTGCAGCCATTGACACAGACAGCAGGACACAGCCCAGTGCCCTCATCACTTAAGTTGATTGACAATTGGGGGAGCCAATGGCTCCTGCTGCTGACGATCTGCCCAGTGAGGAGAAACAAAGCCAGGAGAGCCGCAGCTCTCATGCACAGCGCTGGATTGCGATCGGGCTCAGATAAGTAGAAGGGGGGGGGGGGGAATTCTACACAGAAGGTTTTTCATGGTCATGCATAAAATGCATTAAGGTAAAAATCCTTGAGGCTCTAGAAACACTTTAACCTCTTCCCCCGCCGGCGCCTCCCGGCCCTTTAAGAGTTTCAGAAGCCCGGAGGCGGGCGGGACGGGCGGGATTTAGGGATCATGTGACCGCCGTGATGCGTTGTCACGGCGGTCACATGATCGGGAAAGGTACTGATTGGAAGAGCAGACCAGGACCTTTCCGTGAGTACCGGACATGTGTGCTGGGAGCACGCAGGGGGCGCGCTCTCAGCACATATGTTTTTTGCTAATTGTACGAAAATGTGCGGCCGCACGGCTTCTAGGCCCAGACTCCAGGAGGACGCACATTTGTGTGCGGCCGGCATGAAGAGGTTAATGAAGGTATTCAGGAAACAAAGTTTTATTAAAAAAAAAATATTGGTATGCCATTCCGGTGCGTTTTTGACGCGTTTCAGTGTGTTTTTTGATGCGTTCCAGTTAATTTTTTCCCCTCTCTTTGTCTTCGATAGAAATAGGGTCATGTGCGTTCCAGTGCGTTTTTGGTGCATTCCGGTGCGTTATTGATGTGATTTACCAAGTACAGTTCTGTGCAGGAAAAATTCAGCTTGTTCTACTTTTTTTTCTGCAACCAGAACGCACTGGACCTGCAAGCACTGATGTGAACTATGACACTGACAACCATACCACCTACTGTCTGTGCGTTCTGGATGCAGCAAAAAAGCAGCTGAAATGCGACCTGGCCCTAAAAGAGGATTTCCCCAAACTTGGAGAGATCTCTCACTTCCTGTTGTGTCTCCAGGACAGGAAGTGAAGGGAAATTTCCTCAAAAGGACACAGGTGGTAAAATAAATCTGATCCATCCAAAACTAAAAGAAAACATTTTAGATTTCGATATACTTTAAATATTTCCTGCAGGCTGAGTTACAAATTCTTTTGTAAAATGTAAATGGGTTTTGGCCAGAATGAAGAACGCTCATGCGGAGAAAAATAAGGGTCCTACTATTGGGACCCCCTTGTAAGAATGCTGGTTCCTGGGCTGTGGTGAACACCAGAGAACATGGTCTGCATACTTGTTTCTGGACAGTGACACAGAAAGAATGGGGACAGCCAGGAAACCGGGGTACCCCCTCTCCCCATTAATTGGAATCCAGTATATAGGGAGGGGGGCTCCCATCACCTTCAGTGCCTGCTCCTTGAAGTACTGCAGCGCGTAGGCGAAGATCTCCAGAGCTTTCACTTTCTTGCCATTGGCAGCGATAAGATCAGTTTCCATAGTGAGATCCTGTGTGGGGGGAAAAAAACCTGTTATATGGTGTGTGCAGTCAGATGAATATAACTGCAATCATAATTCTTCTACATATTACTTATTATAATATGAATGCAAATGAGAGAAGAATGAAGAGGAGAGGCATATGGGAGATGAATGAAGAGGAGAAGTATATGGGAAATGAATGAAGAGGATAGGTATATGGGAAATTAACGAAGAGGATAGGTATATGGGAAATGAATGAAGAGGAGAGGTATTTGGGAGATGAATGAAAAGAAGAGGTATATGGGAGATGAATGAAGCAGAAAAGTATATGGGAGATGAATGAAGAGGAGAGGCATATGGGAAATGAATGAAGAAGAGAGGTATTTGGGAGATGAATGAAGAGAAGAGGTATATGGGAGATGAATGAAGCAGAAAGTTATATGGGAGATGAATGAAGAGGAGAGGTATATGGGAGATGAATGAAGAGGAGAGGTATATGGGAGATGAATGAAGAGGAGAGGTATATGGGAGATGAATGAAGTGGAAAGGTATATGGGAGATGAATGGAGAGGAGAAGTATATGGGAAGATGAATGGAGAGAAGTATATGGGAGATGAATGAAGAGGAGAGGTATATGGGAGATGAATGAAGAGGAGAGGTATATGGGAGATGAATGAAGTGGAGAGGTATATGGGAGATGAATGAAGAGGAGAGGTATATGGGAGATGAATGAAGAGGGAAGGTACATGGGAGATGAATAAAGAGGAGAGGTATATGGGAGATGAATGAAGCAGAAAGGTATATAGGGGATGAATGAAGTGGCGCGGTATATGGGAGTTGAATGTAGAGGTATTCGGGGAAGGGATGATTGAAGAAGAGAAGTATATGTGGAATGGATGAAGAGGAGAGGTATATAGGAAATGAATGAAGAAGAGAGGTATTTGGGAGATGAATGAAGAGAAGAGGTATATGGGAGATGAATGAAGCAGAAAGTTATATGGGAGATGAATGAAGAGGAGAGGTATATGGGAGATGAATGAAGAGGAGAGGTATATGGGAGATGAATGAAGAGGAGAGGTATATGGGAGATGAATGAAGTGGAAAGGTATATGGGAGATGAATGGAGAGGAGAAGTATATGGGAGATGAATGGAGAGGAGAAGTATATGGGAGATGAATGAAGAGGAGAGGTATATGGGAGATGAATGAAGAGGAGAGGTATATGGGAGATGAATGAAGTGGAGAGGTATATGGGAGATGAATGAAGAGGAGAGGTATATGGGAGATGAATGAAGAGGGAAGGTACATGGGAGATGAATAAAGAGGAGAGGTATATGGGAGATGAATGAAGCAGAAAGGTATATAGGGGATGAATGAAGTGGCGCGGTATATGGGAGTTGAATGTAGAGGTATTCGGGGAAGGGATGATTGAAGAAGAGATGTGGAATGGATGAAGAGGAGAGGTATATAGGAAATAGACAAAAAGGAAAGGTATATTGGGAAATACACTATATTGCCAAAAGTATTGGGCCAGCCCTCCAAATCATTGGACTCAGGTGTTCCAATCATCTCCATGGCCACAGGTGTATACAATCAAGCCCCTAGGCATGCAGACGGCTTCTACAAACATTTGTGAAAGAATGGGTCGCTCTCAGGAGCTCAGTGACTCCAAGTGTGGTACTGTGATAGGTTACCACCTGGGCAATAAGTCCATCCGTGACATTTCCTGGCTACTAAATATTCCACAGTCATCTGTTAGTGGGATTATAACAAAGTGGAAGCAACTGGGAACAACAGCAACTCAGCCACCAAGTGGTAGGCCATATAACATGACAGAGCGGGGTCAGCACATGCTGAAGCGCACAGTGTGCAGAACTCACCAACTGTCTGTAAAGTCAATAGCTAAAGACTTCCAAACCTCATGTGGCCTTCAGATTAGCACAACAACAGTGCGTAGAGAGCTTCTTGGAATGGGTTTCCATGGCCGAGCAGCTGTATCCAAGCCTTACATCACCAAGTGCAATGCAAAGCGTCGGATGCAGAGGTGTAAAGCACGCCGCCACTGGACTCTAGAGCAGTGGAGACGTGTTCTCTGGAGTGACCAATCACGCTTCTCTGTCTGGCAATCTGATGGACATGTCTGGGTGCCAAGTGTAAAGTTTGGTGTAGGGGGGATTATGGTGTGGGGTTGTTTTTCAGAGGTTGGGCTTGGCCCCCTAGTTCCAGTGACGGGAACTCTTAAGGCATCAGCATACCAAGACATTTTGGACAATTTCATTCACCCAACTTTGTGAAACAGTTTGGAGATGGGCCCTTCCTGTTCCAACATGACTGCACACCAGTGCACAAAGCAAGGTCCATAAAGACATGGAGGAGCCAGTTTGGGGTGGAGGAACTTGACTGGACTGTACAGAGTCCTGACCTCAACCCGATATAACACCTTTGGGATGAATTAGAGCGGAGACTACGGGCCTCCTCCCCCGACATCAGTGCCTGACCTCACAAATGTGCTTCTGGAAGAATGGTCAAACCTTCCCAAAGAGACCCTCCTAAACCTTGTGGACGGCCTTCCCAGAAGAGCTGAAGCTGTTATAGCTGCAAAGGGCGGGGCCAACTCATATTGAACCCTGGACTGGGATGTCATTAAAGTTCATGTGCGTGTAAAGACAGGAGGCCCAATACTTTTGGCAATATAGTGTATATGAAGAAAGAGAAGTATATGTGGGATGGAAAAAAGGAGAGGTGTATGGGGAATGGATGAAGAGGAGAGGTGTATGGGAGATGAATGAGGAGGAGAGGTATATGGGGAATGGATGAAGAGGATGGGTATATGTGGAGTGGATGAAGAGGAGGGGTATATGTGGAGTAGATGAAGAAGAGGGGTATATGTAGAGTGGATAAAGAGGAGAGGTATATGAGAGATGAATGAAGAGGAGGGGTATATGTGGAGTTGATAAAGATAAGATGTATATGGGAGATGAATGAGGAGGAGAGGTATATGGGGAATGGATGAAGAGAGGTATATGGGGTTGGATGAAGAGGAGGGATATATATGGAGTGGATGAAGAGGAGGGATATATGTGGAGTGGATGAAGAGGAGGGGTATATGTGGAGTGGATGAAGACGAGGGGTATATGTGGAGTGGATAAAGAGGAGATGTATATGGGAGATGAATGAAGAGGAGGGGTATATGTGGAGTGGATAAAGAGTAGATAGATGTATATGGGAGATGAATGAAGAGCAGGGGTATATGTGGAGTGGGATGAAGAGGAGATGTATATGGGAGATGAATGAAGAGGAGGGGGTATATGTGGAGTGGATAAAGATAAGATGTATATGGGAGATGAATGAAGAGGAGGGGTATATGGGGAATGGATGAAGAGAGGTATATGGGGTTGGATGAAGAGGAGGGGTATATGTGGAGTGGATGAAGAGGAGAGGTATATGTAGAGTAGATGAAGAAGAGGGGTATATGTGGAGTGGATAAAGAGGAGATGTATATGGGAGATGAATGAAGAGGAGGGGTATATGTGGAGTGGATGAAGAAGAGGGGTATATGTGGAGTGGATAAAGAGAAGATGTATATGGGAGATGAATGAAGAGGAGGGGGGTATATGTGGAGTGGATGAAGAAGAGGGGTATATGTGGAGTGGATAAAGAGAAGATGTATATGGGAGATGAATGAAGAGGAGGGGTATGCAACAATACTTGATAAAAAATTAGCTGAATAATTGAGTTGCCAGAAAGAAGCCTTTACTGGGCCAATGTCAAAAAAGCCCGGTGAGGCAAGTCTCAAGGTGTTGTCAGGCATATTGTTACTGGGCTTCTTTCTGGCAACCATGCAGCTAATTTTTGTTCAAGTAATCTCTTATTGTGCTCCTTGAAACAACCACACTGTCTTTTCCCAGAGCATCCTGTATTTCTCCTGAGGTTACCTGTGGGATTTTCTTTGTGTTCCAAATAATTTTTCTGGCAGTTGTGGCTGCAATCTTTCTTGGTCTGCCTGACCTTGGCTTGGTATCAAGAGATCCCTAAATTTTCCACTTTTAATAGGTGACTGGACAGTACTGACTGGCATATTCAAGGCTTTGGATATCTTTATATATCCTTTACCATCTTTACAAAGTTCCATTACCTTGTTACGCAGGTCTTTTGACAGTTATTTTCTGCTCCCCATGGCTCAGTACCTAGCCGGCTCAGTACATCCATGTGAGCGCTAACAAACTCATTGACTATTTATAAAGACACTAATTGCAATTTAACCCCTTCACCCCTAAGGGTAAAACAAATCTAAATGCCTAAGCACAATTCTGCAAAGTTGACATGTGTTAGTAAAACCGTACATATCATCACAACTACTTTGTACATCCAGGTGAATTATACGGTGTTTTTTTTCAGGACAAATTGGGCTTTCATTTGGTGGTAAATGGTAATGGACAGCTCCTAATTTTTTTTTATTATCAACGGAAAACTGGCTCAAAATAGTAAAAATAAATCATTTTTTTTATTTAGCTGCGTGTTTCTTGTTACTACCATAACCTACCACCACCAACAAACAACCGAAAATAAATTCTCCAGCTCTTGACGATCGCAGCGATACCATATATGTGTATGTTATTTGTTGTTTGTACCCGTAGTACAGCCCAGAAGCAATAGTACGCATTTTGTTTTTGTCTTTTTTTTTTCACCTAAAAACACACTGACATTAACGCTAACTGACACTGATACAAATTTTTTTTTTAAATCCTGACATTTGACCCTGACCTTTGACCCTGACCTTGACCCAAACACTAACCCTGGCACTGAACTAGATCAAACCTTGATCTAGGTATTTTTCTTTATTTTTTAATATTTATTTATCTTCTTCTTTTTTTTTTTTTTTACAAACATTTTTTTATCTCTCTATGTCAGGAGTTAGAGAGATACAATGTATCTCTCTTCTCCATTCATAGAGAGAGAAAAAACAAGGGGGCCGGGCTGCACAGTGACTGATCACTGTGATAGCCAATCAGAGGCTATCACAGCGATCACGTGACCCGGAATCAGGAGTCCCGGTCCCCGATCGTTAGAACGGGACCTGGGGTTTTCAGTGACACCACGGTCTCTGTGCTGGGAGCGCGCCATGCGGCGCGCTCCCAGCACATAGACAGGTATGCAAACATGCGGCCCCACGGAAAAAAGCCCAGCTCCGTGAGGCCGCATACTTGTGTGCTGTCAGCGTCAAGGGGTTAAAAAGCCACAGATGTAGGAAATTACCCTTTATTTGCCATTTTAACCCGTGTGTGTCACCTTGTGTGTCTGTACCAAGGCCAAACATTCCAGGGGAGGGAAACTTTTGATCCGGGCCATTAGGGTGATTTCTGTTATCATTATGATTCAAACAGAGAAGAGATAACTATATGATAATAAATGGCTTCATATGATCACTATCCTTCAATAAAAGACAGATTTTAGCATGATCAGTCATATTTGCAATATCAATGCCAACATGTCATGATTTCTGCCAGGGTGTGCAAACGTTTGAGCCCAACTGTATATGAGAGATTGAGGAAGAGTGGAGGTATATGGGGGATATATGAAGAGTGGAGGTATATGGGGGATATATGAAGAGTGGAGGTATATGGGGGATATATGAAGAGTGGAGGTATATGGGGGATATATGAAGAGTGGAGGTATATGGGGGATATATGAAGAGTGGGGGTATATGGGGGATATATGAAGAGTGGAGGTATATGGGGGATATATGAAGAGTGGAGGTATATGGGGGATATATGAAGAGTGGAGGTATATGGGGGATATATGAAGAGTGGGGGTATATGGGGGATATATGAAGAGTGAAGGTATATGGGGGATATATGAAGAGTGGAGGTATATGGGGGACATATGAAGAGTGGAGGTATATGGGGGATATATGAAGAGTGGAGGTATATGGGGGATATATGAAGAGTGGAGGTATATGGGGGATATATGAAGAGTGGAGGTATATGGGGGACATATGAAGAGTGGAGCTATATGGGGGATATATGAAGAGTGGGGGTATATGGGGGATATATGAAGAGTGGAGGTATATGGGGGATATATGAAGAGTGGAGGTATATGAGAGATTGATGAAGAGTGGAGGTATATGGGGGATATATGAAGAGTGGAGGTATATGGGGGATATATGAAGAGTGGGGGTATATGGGGGTAATATGAAGAGTGGGGGTATATGGGGGATATATGAAGAGTGGAGGTATATGAGGGATATATGAAGAGTGGAGGTATATGGGGGACATATGAAGAGTGGAGCTATATGGGGGATATATGAAGAGTGGAGGTATATGGGGGATATATGAAGAGTGGAGGTATATGAGAGATTGATGAAGAGTGGAGGTATATGGGGGATATATGAAGAGTGGAGGTATTTGGGGGATATATGAAGAGTGGAGGTATATGAGATATTGATGAAGAGTGGAGGTATATGGGGGATATATGAAGAGTGGAGGTATATGGGGGATATATGAAGAGTGGAGGTATATGGGGGATATATGAAGAGTGGGGTATATGGGGGATATATGAAGAGTGGGGGTATATGGGGGATATATGAAGAGTGGAGTATATGGGGGATATATGAAGAGTGGAGGTATATGGGGGATATATGAAGAGTGGAGGTATATGGGGGATATATGAAGAGTGGGGGTATATGGGGGATATATGAAGAGTGGAGGTATATGGGGGATATAAAGAGTGGGGGTATATGGGGGATATATGAAGAGTGGAGGTATATGGGGGATATATGAAGGTGGAGGTATATGGGGGATATATGAAGAGTGGAGGTATATGGGGGATATATGAAGAGTGGAGGTATATGGGGGATATGAAGAGTGGGGGGGGGGATATATGAAGAGTGGAGGTATATGGGGGATATATGAAGAGTGGGGGTATATGGGGATATATGAAGAGTGGAGGTATATGGGGGATATATGAAGAGTGGAGGTATATGGGGGATATATGAAGAGTGGAGGTATATGGGGGATATATGAAGAGTGGAGGTATATGGGGGATATATGAAGAGTGGGGGTATATGGGGGATATATGAAGAGTGGGGGTATATGGGGGATATATGAAGAGTGGAGGTATATGGGGGATATATGAAGAGTGGAGGTATATGGGGGATATATGAAGAGAAGAGGAATACAGGGGATGAATGAAGCGGATGGGTTCGGAATGAGACACGTACAGATGTCCCTAAGCCCATGTCACGGAACACTCACCGTACTGCTGTGCAGTTTCATCTTGAACTTCTCGAAGTACAGCCAGTGTTTGGACTCGCTGGGGTCCAGGTCGTGATAGAAATCTCTGGCGGCAAACCCAAAGCTATGAAACTTTCTGTCCGGCATAAGAAGCATTGTGGTCGGAGTCTTCTGATTGGACACTCCGGGGTCTCCACCCTCCCACCGCCTATAGACAAGGTAAGAATTTCCCATCAGTCTACAACACAATGGTCAGTTAATACATTCATAAGTGATCATTTCCTGTTCGTTGGTGAAGCCCTAGGTTCACATGTAAGCGTTTTCTGCAGCATTTTGCAAAAACTCAGTACAGTCCATTTAACATGATTTCCTATGGGACACGTTCACACCTCAGCGTTTTCTCCCGGAGCGTTTTTTGGAAAGGGTCAGGGACTTTTTTGAATGCACAAAGTTGCATTTTTAGTTCTTTAGAGTGCATTGGAAATGCTGCACGAAAGTATGTAGTTCGTTTTTGGTGCGTTTTGCATTTTATATCTGCCTAGCAACAAGAAAAATAGAATTTTTTTTTAAAAAACCCACGCAAAACGCTTTAAAAACGCAGGTGCAAAAATGCAAAGCAGAAACAGCTCAAACGCAAACTGCATAGGTGTGAACCTAGCCTTAGGGCCAGTTCACACTACATGCATTTCAGTTGCTTTTTTTCTGCATCCAAAATGCACAGAAAGTAGGTTGTATGGTAGTCAATGTCATAGTTCACAACAGTACTGAGGTGTAGGACCAAGGATGACTGTTTGTGCTGTACAAAATCACACACAAGTCGCATGTATTTCATTCAGGTGCTACTTTCATGCGACTTTGGAGGTTTACATGGAAGTCTATGGCCCTATAATCACATGAAAGTCAGACCAAAGTAGTGCAGGAACTATTTTCAAGTTGCTGCAACTTGAAGCCACACAGATATAAATGGTACTCATTGGGAAACATGGGGTACAACTTGTCATTCGACTTTGGACCCCAAATGGGTGAATGGGCCACTTTATATGCACCAAATACCTTTGCCAATCCAGATATTACCTTGTAAAAAAAAGCAGTGACATCATCGCTGTGCTGTACATAGCCTGTCCAGACAGCAGAGCCGTGGGAGGGGCCCAGCAAGCTCCACCCATTGCAGGCTGCCTGCAGAAAACTACAGGAGGGGGTGGTGACAAGACCAGTCACTCTGTTCAAGGAGAGGACAGCAGTGAGCGGTCTTTATTACAAGAAACACACTGGATTACTGCACAGATCTGATAGAAATACACAAAGCACACCGAGATTCACATAGGAATACACATGTCAGTATGTACAGTATTTGCTGATCCCAGAGTTCAGCTTTTGGGAGGAAAGAATGGTAAGAATGCAAATGCATTCAGAGGAAGAGGGGAGGAATAAAGGACAGAGGAAGATGCCGGGTGTCTGGGGCCAGTGTAGCAGCTGGGCTGCAGCTACTTCCAGTGTTCCTCTCAGACTCAGTCCCTTACTGCAAGCTGGCTAGTAGCTGCTGATCACTGTGGAGTTCCAGCCCTTGTCTTCCCATTCATAAGCGTAGGCGGATCTGCGCTTGCAGAGGAAGGGATGTCTGACTTTGATGTCTCGTGTCTGTGTGAGTGTGACCCAGGTGACCGGCCATCCATCACATGTGCAATGTGTCGGTGAGTGATGACATCATCACAACCCCACAGCCTGCTCTTCGAGCGCCTACTGATCTGTGTCAGTGTTGGTTGTGGTGTGTTGTGTTGGATCTGTCACTGCATGGGATCGCTCAGTTTAGCTGCCTGCTGCCACAGTGTTTTACCTCCCCCCCATTGCCTGGGGAATTCCAGCCTGGGATCTGTCAGAGTGTGGATCCATTACCCTCCACTCACTGCAACTGTCACCTTGCCACTGCCAGCCACATATACAGTCCATCCGTGGCACTGATTTTGTCTTTGTATTGGTGCTGGTGGCATCTTATGGCACTTATTTTTGCAAATTAAAAGAACTTTAGCAGTTTCATGTTTTGTTGATTTAATATTTTCTACTGTTTTTGAAATAGTTTTTTTTGGGGGGGGAGGTGGGGGGGGCGCAAGTAGCTGGTTTTGCCTAGGGAGCAATAGTCTAGCAGCGGCCCTGGTTAGATGACCTAACTATCATTAGTTACATAGACCGCATATGTCCACCAGCTCCTCTAAATCATGTAAGTTGTTCTGAAACTGAAAGCTCTTCAGATGAATTAAAAAAAACGAGATTTCTCAATTTCACCAACAAAGATTTTGGCCTTTTATTTGTGTGTTTTTGTTTAATCATGTCATGTTTTCCAAGCCAGTGTCAAAAGAAAAAAGCACCTGTCACCTGCCACTGGAGTGGGGCAGTTGGCGCCCCTTGCAGGCAGGTTTGGGTGCTGCGGGCTGAAGAAGATTTTATTATAAATTGTTTCCAGAATGGCTGGAAGGACATAATAAATCTGAGGAAATTGATTCATTCGGAAGGATGGTCAGACAATGGGGCCACTGGAAAGCTTTTAATCGATCAGTGAGAGGTGGATGAGTGCCCCAGCCCTGATCCTAACGTTTCCCCTGTGACTACGTTTGACCCTCCCCTGGACTGTCTGAACCTTCCCTACCCATCTACCATCCCCGATCTGGCAAAATCAGCTTCCCTGTGTGGTCAGAGTGATCCCTGACCTATCACCAGGACACAGACACCACATCATCCTCTACCCCTTCACATTATGTTTCTGTATTGAAGTGTCAGCTCTTTTGCCAAGATCAGAATGTTTCTGCCTTGGAATGTGCTTGGTGACAATCTAGAATTTCGCCAAAAGCCTGCACAGTTATAACATGATGATCCTCAAAATGCTACTTGCCTGGCCATGTACAAGCATGCAGCCAGTGAGATGGAATCAGACTCCACCTGAGCAGGACAGTGATGCATAATGTACTGAAGCCATTGGATAAGCCAGGCAAGCAGCAAAGCCAGTCTCCATCTTAGTACAGCTTTACCAGTTACAGGTAGCCGTCACCTGATTGTCAATGCCAGGTGAGACGGCTTTTTCTGGCAGACAGGTACAGTGGCAGTACAGCACTCCTATACACACAGCGCTCTCACTGACATCACTGTCTCCTATTAAATGTCACTGCAGGCTGGCAGTGGTCGCTGTCAGGACTGCCACTGAAGTGTCATGGCTGCCAGATCTGCCTTTTCCCATAATCCTCTGCATAGGAACCCGGATGTGAATAAAGCGGCTGAATCATCATTGACTTTCTTTCCCATAACGCCTGCATCTAAAAATGTGGCACAGCTGTAGTTAAATTAGAGCGCTTCTAAACTCCAAGAACAAAAATGTATATACACCAGCCTAGCAATTCTGAAATGTGGTGGCTGCATTTGTTTTCTTTTGTTCAGGCTTTTTTCCTATATCTTCACATGGTGATCCTGCCAATGACACACTTCCTGTGCTAAGGTGACAACACTCACCCACCATACTGTATCTTTGGAGGTATAGCACTGTCACCCCAGGACAGAAAAGTGAGTTAGAACTACTGAACACCTCCCCTTCTCATCTGAATAACGTGGAGGGAAGATGTTCTGTAGATCACAGAAAGAATTGGGCTGATAATACTGCTTGAGATTTCAGTACAGGAACACTGGATTTCTGGCAGGATCAGCAGGGATTTTTTTGAACTTGCAGCCACAACTAACTGGCAAGCCACAGTTTATTAAATTGTCCTTGTTGGGTTTATAGATATGCTTTAATTCACATAATACGTGTGATTAATTGCATAGTGTTCAGGCAAGGAAGCAAATCTGGAAATGCAGACGATGGTTTATTATGTAAGGCTCCATGCACACTAGCATTTTTGTAAGCATTTTTTTTCTGCTCCCAGAATCTAAATAGTGTTTTCCTATGTGTCCATGCACACTACTGTAGGATATTAGAGGTTTTTGAGCTTCAGTGTCTAGAAGCAGAAAATAAAATAAATAGTTTTTGTAGAGTTTTTTGGAGCACCTTTCCAGCAAAAAAAAAGCTAAATGCTGCTAAAATGCTCCTAAGGCCCCTTTCACATGGCTGTTCTGATCGGATCCACCTGCCTGTTTTTCAGGCAGACCCAATCGGATCCTCCATTCTCCTCTATGGAGAGGCGGGGTGTAAACGGACATGTGTCTGTTTACACCCGCCGACATCCAATCCGATCCAACATGCAAAAAAGAGACGGCTGGGGATCCAATTCCCCTTCTGTCCGTCAGATCGGGCTGGATGAAAACAGACAGGGGGTCCATTTCCATCCGTCTGCCTATTGAGGACAGCGAGCTGCTCTGTGTCCGCTCTGCAGCAGCTCTTAACTCCTGTCACCGTGGAGGCATATGAGCGGTGGCTGAGCGTTAAAGCTCACCTGTCATGTGGCAGCATATATGAGTTATGCGGTCAGCAATGGGTTAATGGAGTCCAATCAACAATGATTTTCAACTAAAGTGACAAAAAATACAAATGGAATGTAGCAGGATGAATTATTTTTCTTGAAATAAATAAAAAAAAAATCAAACAGTTTTTTTGGTTTAATCTTCATTCTTGAAATTTAATTACAATTACAAAATCGAATGTTAAAATTTTGAAGCACTTTTGAATGACACTTGTTATGTCTCTGATGGCACAGTGGAATGTACTGGCGAGATTTTTTGTATGAACGTTCATATAAAACTCTACCAGTGCATTGGCAGCTCCTGGGCAGTCTGTGCAGCAGGTGGGTGCACATGTATGGCCAAGTGACTTAGTGGTTAGCACTTCTGTTTTGCAGAAACAGGACACCATCTGCATTAAGTTGCATGCAGGATTGATGATGTCCCAAGGGGGCGGGGTCACCTGGTGACATCAGTGGGTGGCCCTGCCCTTTTGTTTATTTAGTGGCGGGAGGCAACGGTGTCGTCAGGCAGCGGATGCAAAGCTCTTTTTTTTTGTTATCACATTGATGCAGGATTTTACTTCGGGGGATTTTTTTCTCTTTTTTTAATAAAGGACTTGTTTTGTGAATGAGTTGGAGTACAATGTATCCCATACTCATTCATATGAGGGAAGGCCAGGATCTAGGGGCTCCCTTGTTAATGTGGGCTTCCAGATTCCGATAAGTGCCCTGTTTGCAGACCATGAAAACCACCGCTCAGGATTTGTGGGGAAGAGACCCTTGTGCCCATCAACTTGGTTACAAGGTGCTTTGGGGGGAGGCTCTACCCCAAATCACTCCCCATTTTGAGGGCATGTGGCCTGGTATGGTTGAAAAAAAATTAAAAAAATCAAATTTCGTCATAAATTTAGGCCAAATGTATTCTGCTACATGTCTTTGCTAAAAAAAAGTGTATATTAATTGGTTTTCATGAAAGTTATAGCATCTACAAATGGCAGTATATACTGTATACTGGAATTTTTTATGTATACTATGTATTTTGGAATATATACTATGTATTTAGGAATTTTTTATGTATACTATGTATTTTGTATGTATTTTTTCTATGTATACTAGTAATGGCAGCGATCAGTGACTTATAGCGGGACTGCGCGGGCTTTCTGACACTGGGGGGGGGAACTGACTAACTGCCACTGACATCCCCAGTGACACTAATGCAGTGATTAGGGCTAATAAAAAGCACTGACACTGTACTAATGACACTGAGCAGGAAGGGGTTAACATCTGGGGCGATCAAAGGGTTAACTGTGTGCTGTTTTACTATGTTGTCTGTGTATGTTTTACTATGTAAGCACGCTCCTTTGTATCGCTCTGCTATGCTATGTTTACATACAGACCTCTCCCCTGTCAGTGTTCCTCGGTGATTGCCAGGTGTCAGCGGGGAATCTCCAGCTGGGACCCAGTGATCGATATCTTTAGCTGCCAATGGTGACTAGGGTAGGGCGCGTGCATGCGCCCCCTACCTGGAAATACAAAATCATGTATATATATGTGATTTTGCGCAGCCCTTCTGCCCTGTCAGTAGCAGTAGTTCTACTATAGGGCAATCGGGAAGTGGTTAATTGCCAGCAATTCTCTTGTTTACATTCATGAGTCAATGGTTGTTAAAGCGGAGTTCCACCTGAAAAAAAAAAAATGTCAGCAGCTACAAAAACTGTAGCTGCTGACTTTTAAAATACAGCCACTTACTTGTCCCTTGGTCCTGCGTTGTCCTCACCACCACTGGTTTCACCGACCGTCTTCTCTCCCTGGCGCCAGCATCTTTATTGTGGGCACCTGGCTGTGACAGCTTGCGGCTTCACAGCCGGGTGCCTACTGCACATGTGCGAGAAGCGCTGCGCTTCATGAATGGCCCCGTAGTCTTCTGCGGCCTGTCACTTGTCTCAAAAGACTACAGGGAGGTAGGGGGGAGGACTACTTCCGCTTCTGATCGCCTAGGCGATCGCAGCGGGATTGGGAACGGGTACCTGTCAAATTCGGGCACCCGCTCCCCCCCCCCCAAAGGTGCCAATGCTTAATGGGTAGCGGGGGACAAAGGCTTAAAGCGGAACGTCCCCTTTGGGGTGGAGCTCTGCTTTAAGGATGTGGTGGCCGGCTTGCGGAGCTGCTTCTTAAAGCGGAGTTCCACCCAAAATTGCCATATTTGTCACCTTTTGGGGAGGAGCGGATACCTGGTTTTGACAGGTACCCGCTCCTACTTCCGGCTCAGTTTGTCGCGGCGAAGTGAACCGGACGGTTGGCCCCCTCCTCCCTCCCGCACTCTCCTGGGAACTTTCACAGGTCCCAGGAGACTGCCGGACCAATTAGGAGGCGCAGGGTGACTCGCACATGTGCAGTGGGCACCAGGCTGTGAAGCCGCAAGCTGGTGCCCACAGTTGAGATGCCGGCGCCGTGGCGGAGAGAAAGAACGGCGTGGGTGAGAACATTGCTGGACTCTAGGACAGGTAAGTGTGTGTTTATTAAGTCACCAAATACAGTTTTTGTAGCTGCTGACTTTTAAGAAGCACTAAAACAGCTGGAACTCCGCTTTAGCAACCAGCTACCCGACACAAAAATGGAAAAATGTCAGGAAAAAACGCTCCTAATGAGCATTTTTTCCCAGTGTTTTTCCAGGATTTCTTCAGCTCCTAGTGTGCATGGAGCCAAGTGCTGCACTGCATAACATACGGCTTTTCTTGAATCATATAAAGGCTCTGGAGTGCAGCCACAAATCTGTGACATGAGTTAAATGATTTCTAGAGTTAAAGTATGAATGAAGCGACCTCATCTAAGTAACGCCGAGCGATCCCAGACACGTGGCGCCCCCTCCTTCTCCGCTCCAGCAGTGATGTGACACCAATTGTGTCCTGCCGGCTGCAGATGGTATAAATCCCCCCCTCCCCCCCTCGCCGGTGCTGCAGTGCAGTTATTACCTCATGATATGAATACATTCCGGCTCCTTGGAGAAGCTGTAGGCGTAGCCACTGGAAGTCGTGCCAAAATCAATGGCCACCACCACCGAGAAGTTCTGTTCGTCCGCCGAGCCGGAATCCGAGTCCTTCTGTAAGAGCCAATCGGGAGAGGTTAACCCCTACATCACCGCTCTCCCACCCAGCAGCCAGTCTGTACCCCTTTGGTGTTCCCGATGGCCGAGCTCTGCCACCTCAATAACGGGGACCTGTCAGCACAGTGGCTAAATGGTTAGCACTTCGGCCTGGCAGTACTCGGGTCATTGGCTCGAATCCCAACCATAGCACCACCTGCCTGGAGTTTGCATGTTCTCCCTGTGACTGCGTGGGTTTCCTCCCACACTCCAAAGACATGCTGGTAGGTGAATTGGCTCCTGTCTAAATTGGCCCTAGTATGTATATGTATGAATGTGAGTTAGGGACTTTAAATTTTACGCCCCTTGAGGGTTAGGGACTGATGTGAATGTACAATATATATGTAAAGCACTGCGTAAACTGACGGCGTTATATAAGTACCTGAAATAAATAAATAACTTTACACATCTGCATAAATACATTCCTGACATGTCACAATATACAGCAACAGCATCATTTCTTATACAATCTCCAGATTTTATCATTAAAAACTCATCCTTAACCTCCAGCCAGTGACCTTGCCTAGGCTGAGATGATGTCATCAGTCTGCTGCAGGCAGGAGGAAGCATTTCCTCAGTCTCCTCTCCTCCAGTGATCAGACTGCAACATTGTAATTTTGTAGCAAAACACAAGGTGAGAGGCTGCAGCAGGGGCTGATCTGTGTCAGACATTTGTGAACACGGCCAAGGACTGCACAGGCACTAGGATTTACATGATTGTACTTCAGCAGGAGGTAGATGGTGACCCTGGATGATGTCTGAACAAATATGGCGCTGTTCTTCTGGAGAGAAAAGCAGATGAATGCATTGCCAGTGCTGTGATCCTTGTGAGAGGGCATAGATACTAGGACGGGTTACAGCAATGTGTTGCACATGCACATGCAAAATGTGCCTTGCTGTAACACCTTCCAATCTAACAGCCAATTTCCATTTTTTTTTTCAGCAGGCAGCAGACCACAAAAGGTTCATTTAGAGCAGGGGGCCAGTTTACTGACCTTCAGATTTAGGGCGCCGGATTGTGGCCAGTGGGAGTAGAAAAGGTCCCAACGTCAGTAGGAATAAACAATGCCTCATCGTTCGTGTCAGTGAGAGGAACAGCTCCCCATCATTGGTGTCATTGGGTCCCACTGTTGGTATCATTGGGATGAATTATGCCCCATCACTGGTGTCAGAGGGAGCAAAAGCACCCCATCATTGGTGTCATTGGGATGAATTGTGTCCCATTGTTGGTGTCATTGGGATGAAGTGTGCCCCATCATTGGTGTCATTGGGATGAATTGTGTCCCATTGTTGGTGTCATTGGGATGAAGTGTGCCCCATCATTGTTGTCATTTGGGCCTGTCGTTGGTGTGATTGGGATGAATTGTGCCCCATCATTTGTGTCAGTGAGAGGAAAAGCGCCCAATCATTGGTGTCATTGGGCCCCATTGTTGGTGTCATTGGGACCCCCTTGTTAGTGTCATTAGGATGAATTGTGCTCCATTGTTGATGTCAGTGGGAAGAATAGCATCCCATCATTGGTGTCACCGGGCCCCATTGTTAGTGCCATTGGGATGAATTGTGCCCCATCATTGGTGTCATTGGCCCCCATTGTTGCTGTCATTGGGAACAATTGTGCCCCTTCATTGGTGGTGGTGGTGGGGGGGAATCATTCCCGTTGTTGGCATCAGTGGAAGAAAATAGTGCCCCAAGAGCCGGGTACAAGCATGCAAAGGGCCGCATCTGGCCCCCGGGCCACAGTTTGGAGACCACTGATTTAGAGTAACACAATGAATAATGATAATTTGCTGCTATTGTAAGAAGGAATTCATGTTTATTAATTTTTATTGAATTAATAAAAATTTCACAAATTCTGTAAAGTGACCCCAGTGACAGAAATGTGACAGCAATCATCCAATCTGATTGAATTTAGACCTGGCTAGCCAGTCTTTCTCAGGGAGGATATAGAGGAGGCACCTCTGGGGACATAGAAAGCAATCACAATTCCCAATTGCGTCACGCAACAATCGTGGCAGAATCACACTGCGTTTGGGGTGTCATTATTCTTAATGGCATCCAAACGCCTGTCATGTGTTTGGCCGTGGTCTGGAATCGTGGGCAGGATCACAGCAATTCTGCAATTCCAGATCACGGGTGGTGCACGGGAGCGTACATATGTTTCACACATCGCATGTAGGGCAGTCCATTATTTCTATGGACTGCTCTACTCGCTTGGAATGTGGAGAAAGAAGTCCCCTGCCCTTTCTAAAAATCATGCTGCATCAAACCGCATGGGGCTGAGGCATAATGTGATTTGGCACATGCGTAAGGATTAATTACCTTTTGCGCAGTGCAGTGCTTTTCTGTGCGTGTCAATTTTGCATTCAATCCTGACTTGCATAAATATGAACCTAGGCTACAAAATGGGGGGGGAAAATGCTATATAGTGTACATTGTTACATTGGATTTAAAGTGTTACTAAACCCCGGACCCTGCATTCACTATATCTGGTCTCCCCGGACCCTGCATTCACTATATCTGGTCTCCCCCGGACCCTGCATTCACTATATCTGGTCATTCACTATATCTGGTCTCCCCGGACCCTGCATTCACTATATCTGGTCTCCCCGGACCCTGCATTCACTATATCTGGTCTCCCTAGGACCCTGCATTCACTATATCTGGTCTCCCCGGATCCTGCATTCACTATATCTGGTCTCCCCGGTCCCTGCATTCACTATATCTGGTCTCCCCGGACCCTGCATTCACTATATCTGGTCTCCCCGGACCCTGCATTCACTATATCTGGTCTCCCCCGGACCCTGCATTCACTATATCTGGTCTCCCTAGGACCCTGCATTCACTATAACTGGTCTCCCCGGATCCTGCATTCACTATATCTGGTCTCCCCGGACTCTGCATTCACTATATCTGATTCTCTCCCGGACCCCGCATTCACTATATCTGGTCTCCCCGGACCCTGCATTCACTATATCTGGTCTCCCCGGACCCTGCATTCACTATATCTGGTCTCCCCGGACCCTGCATTCACTATATCTGATCTCCCCGGACCCTGCATTCACTATATCCGGTCTCCCCGGACCCTGCATTTACTATATCTGGTCTCCCCCGGACCCTGCATTCACTATATCTGGTCTCCCCGGATCCTGCATTCACTATATCTGATCTCCCCGGACCCTGCATTCACTATATCCGGTCTCCCCGGACCCTGCATTCACTATATCTGGTCTCCCCGGACCCTGCATTCACTATATCTGGTCTCCCCGAACCCTGCATTCACTATATCTGGTCTCCCCGGACCCTGCATTCACTATATCTGGTCTCCCCGGACCCTGCATTCACTATATCTGGTCTCCCAGGACCCTGCATTCACTATATCTGGTCTCCCCGGACCCCGCATTCACTATATCTGGTCTCCCCGGACCCTGCATTCACTATATCTGGTCTCCCCGGACCCTGCATTCACTATATCTGGTCTCCCCGGACCCCGCATTCACTATATCTGGTCTCCATGGACCCTGCATCCACTATATCTGGTCTCCCACAGTACATAGAACATGGAAATGCACATTTTTAGTAAATATAAACTGCTAAATACCTTTTCTCATCAGCAGTTAGAGCAGTCTTGTGACTTCTATCAGTGTCTGGCTGAGCACTGGTTCAAGCTTGTAGGAGGAGTTTTCATTCTCCCCTGATTGTCCTATGAGGCCGCATAAACCCTGACTCTGTCTGGACATCACTGACTGGCCCTGCACCGATCACATTCACCCTCCCCAGAAAAAAAAACTCTCTAGCAAATAATAGGACCTCTCTAGCGGGGAAATAAGAATCAGGGAAGGGAAAATAGAAGCGGATTAAACTTCAGATTTAACCAGAAAAAAAAAACGACATGTGACCGGAGTCTCCCGATCTGCGAATAATACCGACGTTTGTATGTCACAGGAAAGGGAAATGACCAGAATGGAATAATATACAATTTTCTGTAGGTTGTAGATAAACCACAAAGATGGTAACTTACCACAGCGATGTGAGAGGGGGGAGAGCGGCGTTATTCCCGGATCCCCCAAACTCCGTGCTGGGGAGGAGTATGCCGAGGTGGAGACCCTCTCTGCAACAAAGAACAGAGACAGACTGTCAGCTCTTGGGACCAGTGTTCACAGTGATTCTACTATACCTCCTACCTATAGGATCTCTGCCTGTTATACAGTAATGATAGATTGATACATCTTTCCTAAAGGTACACTTGCAATCAGCCTCCCACATCAATGGGATTTCAGTTATGAGTGGAGCAGCAGATACTTTCTGATATCATACCTTTCACAGTCTCTGGCTGTAAGATCATGTGTTCCTTGCTCCGCCCTCTCTCTCTCATGCGAAAGGGAATCATGTTTACTGCTATGTCCCCTCTCTGACCATAATAAGCAGTCATGTTCCCAGCTCCACCCCTCTCTGATCATAATAAGGGAGTCATGTTCCCAGCTCCACCCCTCTCTGACCATAATAGGATGTCATGCTCCCAGCTCCACCCCTCTCTGACCATAATAAGGGAGTCGTGTTCCCAGCTCCACCCCTCTCTGACCATAATAAGGGAGTTGTGTTCCCAGCTCCACCCCTCTCTGACCATAATAAGGGAGTCATGTTCCCAGCTCCACCCCCTCTCTAATCATGATACGTGAGTCATGTTCCCAGCTCCACCCCCTCTCTAATCATGATACGTGAGTCATGTTTCCAGCTCCACCCCCTCTCTAATCATGATACTTGAGTCATGTTCCAGCTCCACCCCCTCTCTAATCATGATACCTGAGTCATGTTCCCAGCTCCACCACCTCTCAAGCTAATCATGATACGCGAGTCATGTTCCCAGCTCCACCCCCTCTCTAATCATGATACGTGAGTCATGTTCCCAGCTCCACCCCCTCTCTAATCATGATACGTGAGTCATGTTCCCAGCTCCACCCCCTCTC